TGTGCGGCATTTTGCGGATCAGCTCGTCGAGATTGTCAGCTAAGGAGATCTCGTTGGCAGGCTTGATCTGCAAAAAATCACCTGCAATCAGCAAAATTGGTATGTGTCCCATGAGCTCTCCTGGGTGGAAATAGCTGGCTGGATCAAGGCCTTCATCTTGACGGGCGCGCATGCTGCGGTAAAGCATCATGTTTTCCACTGCAGCTGGCACCAAACTGATTTCATCTTGAATGATTAAAATTTTCGGCTGCCAGCGTTGTTTCATCTCTTGCTCTTTTGTCTTCAAGGCCAAATGCTTGTTGCGCAAACTGGCTACACGATACGAGCAAGCAAACGGCTTCTGAGGTCCGGCAGGGAACACTGGGCGCGGATGGTCGTGGTTGAGGTCCGGCAGGGAACACTGGGCGCGGATGGTCGTGGTTGAGGTCCGGCAGGGAACACTGGGCGTGGTGGCGTGGTTGAGGTCCGGCAGGGACACTGGGCGTGGGTGGTCGTGGTTGAGGTCCGGCAGAGAACACTGTGGATCGCGTTCGCAGTTGAGCAAGGACGACGACGGATGACAAGGAGGACGAGAGAGGGCCGAGGGGACGAGGCCAGGAGGAGGCGGAGGAGGAGCAGGAGGGAGGAGGCAACTGACATAAAATCTAACACCCTCACCTGGAGGTGGGGAGAAAAAAAAGCAAACAAAAAAAATCAAAAAAAACCAAAAAACAAAAAACAAAAAAAGGCAAACAAAAGCAAAACGAAAAACAAGCAAAAAAAGCAAATTACTTTACTTCGAGTGATCCCCACCATGACATTTCAAAACAGCTTGTTGACAGCACTTTTGTCTGAAGCTTTTGTCACGGGACTTTTGCCCAACTAACTATCCCAATCATTTGTTTCACCTGGCAGGTCATTGTGCAGGTCATTCTGACATATCTTTGCCCAACTAACTATCCCAATTATTTGACTGTCAAACAGGATATAAACATGTCAGTGGACCATGTGAAGTAAACTCCAGAGCTCTCAACAGGTTTGTTTAAACATGACCAAACAGGGCAGTGGACCACCTGAGCCAAACAAACAAACATGCCCAAACATGTCAGCACACCGCCTGTCAAACATGTTTGTACAAACATGACTGAACCAAGCCAGTGGACCATGAACCAAAGTCAAAGGCTCGCAAGCTCACGTGTAAACTCGACAAAACCATGCCAGTGTTACTTCATCAGATCGCTGCAGCTGCAACTCTCTATTTCTCCACCAGACCTCTTCAATCAAAACCGATTAGGTCCCACTGGCAGAGCACTGTGTCAGGATGCTTGCAATGCATCATAGACAGGCCAGGACTGCAGCCGCTCCAGCGTCGAAGCAGCTTTGGCTTCCAACTTGTCAGTCAGTTCTCGCAAGTAGGTAGGAGGGCCTTTGCGTAAAAGCTCCTCCACTTGCTCCGTGAACCCCAGCAAGATGAGATTCTTCAGTTTGCGGGCACGCGTCAGCATGACATAGATGGCTAGCCACCAGTCCGCATCCTCTAGGCCACCACCACGACGCAAATCAACCAGCACACCTCCGTCCAAAGTCAAGCCTTGCGCGCTGTAAGCAGTGCGCAGCATGCCATGCAAAAGCGGGAACTGCCAGCGAATCACTTCAATTTTCTCCGTTTCCTCGCCTAGTTTCAAATCAATTTTGAACTCTGCATGCACCAATTCCACAAAGAACAATGTCTTTGCGTCAGTTGTGTGATCGGCCACATTCTGAAACTTTTCTTCCCACGTCTGCAACAGAGCATCTTCCATGGGCGAATTCTTTCCTTTAAGTAATTTCACCCAGATACCTTTGGCCATGTAGTCCGGAAAAAAATGACAGAATCCAGGTTCACGACGGTCCAGGCGCTTCTGATCTTCATGGTGCAAATCCACTTTCACTACCACTGCCAGTTTGTCTTTAACCAATCCAAGGTGTGGAGCCAAGACATCCGCCAGTCGCACAACCATGTTCTCGTGCACCAGTAGCATGCCTTGCAATTTGCCAGTGCGATGCGGGTTTGGAACAGTGAGCAGCTGATGCGTCAGCTGCTTGTCTATGGTTTTATTTTTTCTGGAATGCCTTTGGTCAGCAGCTTGCAAACAAAATAACGGCACATCCAGGTCTTGCGCATCTCGATTTGCCCGTTCCACCATGCTGCGAGCAATGTTCTCCCAATACATGCCAATGACGTGACCATGCTTGAACAAGTCTGTGGTTAGTTCTTTCTTGCAATTTTCGATTTTGCGAGCGCGCAGCTGCGCCAAGTGATTCTCGGACAAGGGAGCAGCAGGCGTGCACGTGCGCATGGCTGTTGTGATTTCTGGCAGGTGAGCATCCAGAAACCGCTTCGACTTCTTCAAATGAATCACTGTATCAATGGTCATCAATGCCGCCTGGGCAGCATGGTGTTCTGTCTGCACTCTGTGCGGCATTTTGCGGATCAGCTCTTCGAGATTGTCAGCTAAGGAGATCTCGTTGGCAGGCTTGATCTGCAAAAAATCACCTGCAATCAGCAAAATTGGTATGTGTCCCATGATCTCTCCTGGGTGGAAATAGCTGGCTGGATCAAGGCCTTCATCTTGACGGGCGCGCATGCTGCGGTAAAGCATCATGTTTTCCACTGCAGCTGGCACCAAACTGATTTCATCTTGAATGATTAAAATTTTCGGCTGCCAGCGTTGTTTCATCTCTTGCTCTTTTGTCTTCAAGGCCAAATGCTTGTTGCGCAAACTGGCTACACGATACGAGCAAGCAAACTGGCTTCTGAGGTCCGGCAGGGAACACTGGGCGCGGATGGTCGTGGTTGAGGTCCGGCAGGGAACACTGGGCGCGGATGGTCGTGGTTGAGGTCCGGCAGGGAACACTGGGCGTGGGTGGTCGTGGTTGAGGTCCGGCAGGGAACACTGGGCGTGGGTGGTCGTGGTTGAGGTCCGGCAGAGAACACTGTGGATCGCGGGTCGCAGTTGAGCCAGGACGACGAGGACGACGAGGACGACAAGGATGACAAGGAGGACGAAGAGGAGGAGGAGAGGAGGACGAGGCAGGAGGAGGCGGAGGAGGAGCAGGAGGAGGAGGCAACTGACATAAAATCTAACAACCCTCACCTGGCAGGTGGGGAAAAAAACAAAAAAAAGCAAACAAGCAAATTACTTTACTTCGTGTGATCCCCACCATGACATTTATACATTTTCTTACTGGCAAATCTTCTGGCATTCTATCTGACATATCTTCTGACATTCTATTTGGCATTCTATCTGGCATATCTTCTGGCATATGATCTGGCATATCTTCTGGCATATCTTCTGGCATTCTATCTGGCATATCTTCTGCCATTCTATCTGGCATATCTTCTGGCACTCTATCTGACATATCTTCTGGCATTCAATCTGGCATTCTATCTGGCATATCTTCTGGCATATATTCTGACATATCTTCTGGCATTCTATCTGACATATCTTCTGGAATATATTCTGACATATCTTCTGGCATATCTTCTGGCATATCTTCTGGCATATCTATCTGGCATATCTTCTGGCATATTTTCTGGCATTCTATCTGGCAAATCTTCTGGCATTCTATCTGGCATTCTATCTGGCATATCTTCTGGCATATATTCTGGCATTCTATCTGGCATATCTTCTGGCATATATTCTGACATATCTTCTGGCATTCTATCTGGCATTCTATTTGGCATTCTATTTGGCATATCTTCTGGCATATCTTCTGACATTCTTTCTGACATTCTTTCTAACTTTCTTCTGCACATTCTTTGTCCCATATCTTCCTACATGAGGTCCGGCAGGGAACACTTGGCATGGATCCTCGCGGTTGAGGTCCGGCAGGAAACACTGGGCGTGGATGGTCGTTGGTCAGGTCCGGCAGGGAACACTGGGCCCGGATACTCGCGGTTGAGGTCCGGCAGGGAACACTGGGCGTGGATGGTCGTGGTTGAGGTCCGGCAGGGAACACTGGGCGAGGATGGTCGTGGTTGAGGTCCGGCAGAGAACACTGTGGATCGCGGGTCGCAGTTGAGCAAGGACGACGAGGACGACGAGGAGGACGAGGAGGAGGAGGAGAGGAGGACGAGGCAGGAGGAGGCGGAGGAGGAGGAGGAGAAGGAGGAGAAGGAGGAGGAGGAGGCAACTGACATAAAATCTAACAACCCTCACCTGGCAGGTGGGGAAAAAGCAAAAAACAAAAAACAAAAAAACAAAGAAGGCAAAGAAGCAAAAAACAAAAAAACAAAAAAAAGCAAACAAGCAAAAAAGCAAAAAATGCAAAAAAGCAAAAAAGCAAAAAAGCAAAAAAAAAGCAAACAAGCAAAAAAAGCAAAAAAGCAAAAAAGCAAAACAGCAAAAAAAGCAAAAAAAAAAAGCAAAAAAGCAAACAAGCAAAAAAGCAAAAAAACAAAAAAGCAAAAAAAAGCAAACAAGCAAAAAAGCGAAAAAGCAGGTAAAAAAACAAGAAACCAAAAAAAAAAACGTAAAAAAAAAATAGGCCTCCATTATATAATAGTAATAATAATGACAATAATAATAACGCTAGTAACAATATAATTGTAAAATTAATAGCAAAATTATAACAAGCGTAATCATAACCGTAATAACAATAATAATAACTGCGTGTGGAATATCCTGACTGCTTTCGAAAAAGTTACCTATAAGCCTATAAGCCTATAATTCAGTCACAAACTGGATGCAAATCCGGGTAGTTCTGGCGCAGTTCAAACCAGTCTTTTGGGTCTGCCAAGAATCTGCAATGTTGTTGTAGGCCTGCCAGCAGCCCGGCCATCAAAAAAGGTGCTAAACTGATGGACCTGATGGTTGGTCCAAACTCCAGCGGCTCCAGCACATCGTATTGGCCAGTGAATCACAGACCATATGTTTTGCCAGTGCTCCACATCTTTTCAAGATTCATTAATAATTCACCCCCAGGCACCCCATCCCATGTGTGTTAGATCATCAGAATTCATCGCAAACATCTCCATCTTACCACGCCTGGCACAGCTCCTTGTTCTGGTCCAAGGCCAAATGGTAGTACTTCACAGCCTGTCAGCTCTTGAAATTCTAACCAGGCACCAAGAAATCAAACTCCACTGGACCTGTTCAATGAGAGAATGCTCTACCAAAAAAGGAACCTACACATGTGGGAATCTCCGAGAATGAGGATGAGGGATTACCAGAATACCGCAACAAGTTCATTCGCCTCATGTAATGAACGATCAAGTGGATTCAAAAAGTGGATTATGGGTGCTCCAGTTTCCAGACCTGCCTTGACATACTCGCCGTTGGAGCCAAAAATGATGCCAAGGTTGTAGAAAATGTAACTTCGGTCGATCCTCAGGGAATGGGAATGGCATAGTCTTGCGGAGATTGCTACACTTCATGTATAAATGTGATACTTAAACTCAAACACGGAGCATTGCCAATCACCCCCCATGAAACATTAAAATCACCATGTAAATCCATGTAAACATATCCGCCGACCCCGGCCTTCGCCAAGGCAGGGGCGGCGCCTGGGACCACCGCAGGTGTGGAGCCTGTTTTTGTTGGTTTGCCACTACCTTGCCTTCCGCCAGCTCCGACAAGGCACCAAGGGCACAGTCACAGCATGTCACAGCCACATTGCACGCTTCAAACGCTACAACGCTCGCCAAGCCTCAAACCCTTAAAATGCCTAAAACCCTCCGCGGCAGCTTGGACCAGGCACTCAGGCCACAGCCCTCTGTTGTTCAGGGCGTTTAAGCCTGCCGTTTGCCAGGCCTCTAATGCCTAAAACCCTCCGCGGCAGCTGCGCGCCCAGGCACTCAGGCCACTGCCCTCTGTTGTTAAGGGCGTTTAAGCCTGCCGTTTGCCAGGCCTCAAATGCCTAAAACCCTCCGCAGCAGCTGGGACCAGGCACTCAGGCCACTGCCCTCTGTTGTTAAGGGCGTTTAAGCCTGCCGTTTGCCAGGCCTCAAATGCCTAAAACCCTCCGCGGCAGCTAGGACCAGGCACTCAGGCCACTGCCCTCTGTTGTTAAGGGCGTTCAAGCCTGCCGTTTGCCAGCCTTCAAACCCTTAAAACCCCTAAAACCCTCCGCAGCAGCTTCGACCAGGCACTCAGGCCACTGCCCTCTGTTGTTAAGGGTGTTCAAGCCTGCCGTTTGCCAGGCCTCAAACCCCTAAAACCCTCCGTGGCAGCTTGGACCAGGCACTCAGGCCACTGCCCTCTGTTGTTAAGGGCGTTCAAGCCTGCCGTTTGCCAGGCCTCAAACCCTTAAAACCCCTAAAACCCTCCGCAGTAGCTTCGACCAGGCACTCAGGCCACTGCCCTCTGTTGTTAAGGGCGTTCAAGCCTGCCGTTTGCCAGCCTTCAAACCCTTAAAACCCTTAAAACCCTCCGCAGCAGCTTCGACCAGGCACTCAGGCCACTGCCCTCTGTAGTTAAGGGCGTTCAAGCCTGCCGTTTGCCAGGCCTCAAAAACCTTCCGTGGCAGCTTGGACCAGGCACTCAGGCCACTGCCAGGCCTCAAATGCCTAAAACCTTCCGCGGCAGCTAGGACCAGGCACTCAGGCCACTGCCCTCTGTTGTTAAGGGCGTTCAAGCCTGCCGTTTGCCAGCCTTCAAACCCTTAAAACCCCTAAAACCATCCGCAGCAGCTTCGACCAGGCACTCAGGCCACTGCCCTCTGTTGTTAAGGGTGTTCAAGCCTGCCGTTTGCCAGGCCTCAAACCTCCGCAGCAGCTTGGACCAGGCACTCAGGGCACTCAGGCCACTGCCCTCTGTTGTTAAGGGCGTTCAAGCCTGCCGTTTGCCAAGCCTCAAAAACCCTCCGCGGCAGCTTGGACCAGGCACTCAGGCCACTGCCCTCTGTTGTTAAGGGCGTTCAAGCCTGCCGTTTGCCAGGCCTCAAACCCCTAAAACCCTCCGCGGCAGCTGGGACCAGGCACTCAGGCCACTGCCCTCTGTTGTTAAGGGCGTTCAAGCCTGCCGTTTGTTGGGGCTGCAAGAGTGCCAGCCTTCAAACTCCTCAACGCTCCGCAGCGGCCCTACACAGTGTTTTGCTGAAGCTTCTACTCAAGACTCCCGGTTGCCAACCTTCAAACGCGTCCACCCTCCGCTGCGGCCTTACACACTCTATTGTTGAGGCGTTCGGCCGTTTGCCGGCCTTCAGACGCGTACTGTCCGCACCGGCACTACACATCCTGTCGTTGGGGGTTCACGAGTGCAGTTTGCCAGCCTTCAGACCTTTATTCAAACCGTTAAACCCTCCGCAGCGGCTCTACACACTGTCTTGTTGAGGCTTCCAGACCACCGTTTGCTAGCCTTCAATCCCTAGCCACACTGTCTTGCTGGGGCTTCAAAGGGGGGTCGGCGGCACCCGGGCGCTAGCCCATTCTATATATATATATACAAACATATGTAAACTAGCTAAGTGACCTCCATTTCTGTGGATTTTCCACTACCAGTCATTACCAGTTTGGACTTATCGGCACTGATCTCTGCCAAGCTTCGGATCTTCTTCCAACTTCAAGGATTCCGCGTATGCGCGCAATGCTGCGGAATAGTCGCCAGCCACCTGCGCCTGCATGCCATCACCTGAACAATTTTTGGATTCGATATCTCTGGTTGGATGGTTGGATGGTTCTCCCACAATTTTTTGGGGGATAAAAAACGCCAAGAAATCCTGAAGTCACTGAAGTCTCGTCTGATGTGCAGTTCTAGAACTGAGGGTTTGAAGCACTGCAAACACAGCTGGGTGGCGGTAGAATTGGTAGGCGTCTTTCTCCTGCTGCGCCAGGGGCATGGCAGCGACCACTATGTCCGTCCTCGGTGCCAGGTCTGCTAGGTCTGCCAGGTCTGCCAGGCCGCTGAGGAGCTATTGACGGTCTCGGTAAAGCCCTTTAAAATCCAAATGCCATAGGGGCCATAGGGGCCATAGGGGCCATAGTTGTAGTCATTTGATGTTGCTTGTAAGGAGAAATCATGTTAAAAACACCTCGAAAAATTCGCACTTCATATTTCTGGAAGAGGAGATGACCCTGTAAAAAAAAAACTCTCATTTTTGGGAGTCCGATCCCCAAAGCCTCCCTGACGCCAAAGCTCATGACAGTAAAGGCTTTGTCAATGAAGTTGTCACCTCAGAAGCTTCGAGATGCAACCGAGGACTTGGCCAAGCTGGATCAGCCAAGGAGCTCTTGTCATTGGCTCGGGTGGCCTGCATCTGCCTTAGTCGACAGAGCAACGTAATCTTGCCAAAAGGTTGGCAAGCTGGCGAATGTCAAGCTCATCCACAAGAATGTCAAGCATCGCCATTCTGTTTTCCAATGTTCATGCATGATTAGTCAAAATCTAACTAGTTGCATCTATATAGATAGGTAGATAGGTAGATAGATAGATAAGATTAGATAGATAAGATTAGATAGATAGATAAGATTAGATAAGATTAGATAGATAGAATAGATTAGATAGATAGAATAGATAGGATTAGATGGATAGGATTAGATAGGATTTGATAGATAGGATTAAATAGATAGGATTAGATAGATAGGATGAGATAGATAGGATTAGATAGATAGGATTAGATAGATAGGATTAGAAAGATAGGATGAGATAGATAGGATTAGATAGATAGGATTAGATAGGCAGGATTAGATAGATAGGATTAGATAGATAGGATTAGATACATAGGATTAGATACATAGGAATATATGATAAATAAGATTAGGTAGATAGGATTAGATAGATAGGATTGGATAGATAGGATTGGATAGATAGGATTAGATAGGATTAGATAGATAGAAATAGAATAGATAGGAATAGATAGATAGGAATAGATAGATAGGAATAGATAGATAGGAACAGATAGAATGAATAGATAGACAGGAATAGATAGATAGGAATAGATAGATAGGAATAGATAGATAGGAATAGATAGATAGGAATAAATAGATAGGAATAGATAGATAGGAAAAAGATAGATAGGAAAAAGATAGATAGGAAAAGATAGATAGGAATAGATAGATAGGGAATAGATAGATAGGGAAAAGATAGATAAGAATATATGGGAATAGATAGATAGGGAAAAGATAGATAAGAATATATGGGAATAGATAGATAGGAATAGATAGATAGGAATAGATAGATAGGAATAGATAGATAGGAATAGATAGATAGGAATAGATAGATAGGAATAGATAGATAGGAATAGATAGATAGGAATAGATACATAGATAGATAGATAGATAGATAGGAATAGATAGATAGGAATAGATAGATAGGAATAGATAGATAGGAATAGATAGATAGGAATAGAAAGATAGGAATAGATAGATAGGAATAGATAGATAGGAATAGATAGATAGGAATAGATAGATAGGAATAGATAGATAGATAGATAGATAGAGATAGATAGATAGAGATAGATAGATAGAGATAGATAGATAGGAATGGATAGATAGGAATAGATAGATAGGAATAGATAGATAGGAATAGATAGATAGGAATAGATAGATAGGAATAGATAGATAGGAATAGATAGATAGGAATAGATAGATAGGAATAGATAGATAAGAATATATGGGAATAGATAGATAGGAATAGATAGATAGGAATAGATAGATAGGAATAGATAGATAGGAATAGATAGATAGGAATAGATAGATAAGAATATATGGGAATAGATAGATAGGAATAGATAGATAGGAATAGATAGATAGGAATAGATAGATAGGAATAGATAGATAGGAATAAATAGATAGGAATAGATAGATAGGAATAGATAGATAGGAATAGATAGATAGGAATAGATAGATAGGAATAGATAGATAGGAATAGATAGATAGGAATAGATAGGTAGATAGAGATAGATAGAGATAGATAGAGATAGATAGAGATAGATAGAGATAGATAGTGATAGATAGAGATAGATAGAGATAGATAGAGAGAGATAGAGATAGATAGAGATAGATAGAGATAGAAAGAGATAGATAGAGATAGAAAGAGATAGATAGAGATAGATGGAGGTAGATAGAGATAGATAGAGATAGATAGAGATAGATAGAGATAGATAGAGATAGATCGAGATAGAGAGAGATAGAGAGAGATAGAGATAGATAGAGAGAGATAGAGATAGATAGAGATAGATAGATGGATCGATAGATAGATGGATGGATGGATGGATCGATAGATAGATGGATGGATAGATAGATGCATCGATAGATAGATAGACGGATGGATGGATGGATGGATGGATAGATAAATCTGGATAGAGAGATAGAGAGATAGAGAGATAGATAGATAGATAGATGGATGGATGGATGGATGGATGGATCGATGGATAGATGGATAGATGGATAGATTAGATAGATTAGATAGATTATATAGATAGATTCGACAGATTAGATGGATTAGATGGATTAGATGGATTAGATAGATTAGATAGATTAGATGGATTAGATGGATTAGATGGATTAGATGGATTTGATGGATTTGATGGATTAGAATAGATTAGAATAGAATAGAATAGGTAGATATTCAGGTAGATAGGTTGATATAAATAGATAGATAGAAAGATAGATAGATAGATCAATAGATAGATAGATAGATAGACAGACAGATAGATCGATCGATAGACAGACAGACAGAGAGATAGATAGATAGACTGATATATTGATGGATGGATAGATGGATCGATAGATGGATGGATGGATGGATCGATCGATAGATGGATGGATAGATAGATAGATGGATAGATAGATGGATGGATAGATGGATGGATGGATCGATAGATAGATGGATGGAAGGATAGATAGATGGATACATAGATGGATCGATAGATGGATGGATGGATGGATCGATAGATGGATGGATGGATGGATGGATGGATAGATAGATAGATAGATCTAGATAGATAGATGGATCGATAGATAGATAGATCGATGGATGGATCGATAGATGGATGGATGGATGGATCGATCGATAGATAGATGGATGGATGGATAGATAGATAGATGGATCGATAGATAGACGGATGGATGGATGGATGGATCGATCGATAGATAGATAGATGGATGGATGGATGGATGGATAGATAGATAGATAGATGGATCGATAGATAGACGGATGGATGGATGGATAGATAGATAGATAGATAGATCTGGATAGATAGATATTTATATCTTTGTATATTTATATTGATATTTATATTCGTTGCCTTGAAAATTCATCCCAACTGCAAGGGCGTTTCGGCTACCAAGCGACACCCGCGACCGGCCGGTCGTCCTTCCACCCAGGGCCACGAAGCTAATGGCGGCCGACAGGCTCGACACACCTGGTGCTTCAACCATCAGGCGCGGCACATCGGGACTCTACGAATGCTTGGCAAACTGGAAATAGATATACATTATGTGATATTATATGATATTATATGATATTATATGGTATTATATGGTATTATATGATATTATAGTATTATTATATCATAATGATACTGATATTATATGATATTATATGATAATGATACCGATACTATATTATATTATTGATATTGTGTAGATAGTATATCTATATCCACTATCTTACGTTTAGTAACATGTTCCTTTTCTAACTTTTCGGGAGTTGCTATATTTTTCATCACTTTTATATCACTTTTGGTGGTATGATTTCTATGATGTCCTTCACTGATCATTCCCGCATGATGAGGATGCATTTCCCGGCAGCGTCCTGCTCAACGATCCCAGAATCAACTGTGTGGAGGGAAACGGTGGTCAAGAAACCCTAGAAAAGCCACCCTAGAAAAGCCATCCAGAAAGCAGATTGCTTCTTGGAGAATATGTGCAGGAATCAGGGTAAATCCAATTTTGGGATGGTAACTTGGAACATGTCAGGAAACCATGGGAAATCCGCATGGCTGCATGGTCATTGCTTCACTGTCATTGCTTCACAGTATCAACCCTGTGATTCCTGTTGATGCTATAGATTAGGCTGAAAAAATGTAGAAGTACGGTGTACTTTGAACTTCGGCGCTTGAGAAAATCATGTCACCAGTAAAAATGCCATAAGAAATTGCGATACACCGCCATATCTGGATCTGGTTGCATCATGGCGCCTAGCGCCACCACGGCCAACGCCACCACACGGCGAAGCGACAGCGCCATGACAGGGTACCTGCCGTGGATGCAGTTGCTTCGATGATTTGGGGCCTCCATGGGCCTCCCATTTTGGAAAGCCCCGATGGCTTTCAGGGACCAGTTTAAGCCAGGAAACAGCCGATGTTCCCCTAAGTCGCGCCTCACCAAAACCAAACTTTAAAATGGTCCTAGAAAAGGCCTTGAAAGCCTTGAACCGAAAATGCCCACGATGAAACAAGCTGAAGACGTCAGTGGGGTAGTGACCCAACTTATGTGATACATCTGATGGTTGGATGCTTGGATAGTTGGATGAGGACTAGCCTCAAAATCTGATGCTTGGGCAACAATTTGGACAAGTCAATTGCAGCTTCTGGTTGGCCCCACCAGCGTCCCACCCTGTGCCTTCTGATACTGGCGGATGATTTCCAACCCTCGCCTGGATGCCACCGCACCATGCTGCAACTCATCCACCAGTGATTCACCACATAAAAAACAGCTGCGCCACCTGTCAGAATTGATAACTGTTCTGGAATCTTCTTTCAAGGAGGATGTAGCTGTAACAATTCAGATTAATTCAGTAATAGCAGGACCTTGGAAAATCATGGAATATCTCATCTTCGACCTCTGGCCCATGGGCATGGCAGCTTTTCCATGCTTTTCCTGGGAATGGCTCCAGATGGCTCCAGGCTCCCCCACTTCTGAAGTGCTTGCAGCTCTTTCTCGTGTTGCTTCCCAGCAGTGTCCCTGAGCCGCGAGGCCTCCCGACCTCGGTGGCATCTGCCATGTATAGATCTACGCAATACATGGAATGAATACAAATATCCATGGCATGTCATGCACTTATATATATATAATGTATAGAATGAATTATGATTATGATGATATATGATATGCATAAAAAAAGTGGGGGCGCCGCTATGGGGTCACCTGTTCCTGGACACCAGAGCTATGGGGGCTACAGGGTGTAGCAAATCCTGCGATTGCCACAGGACCGAACATTGTGGAACTCAAATGGTGGCAGACAGTTCCGGCAAACATTCACCTGGTTTCAAGGAAATATTGCACCCCCCATCCCCTTGAAGCCTCCCCTGTGTGTCCCGGCCGATCTTTTGGGATGACGTATCCACCTTCTTCAGCTTCGAATAGAACTCGGAGAGTTGACTCTGGATCCAGTCCTTCAAAGTGATTTCAGTCGACTCCTGGCCAAATCAACGATGCAAACAGGGATTTGATGGGATGCATTCCGGATGCATTCCAGTTCTCTCCCAGTTGGAGCCGACAAACCCGAATGGGTATACGATCTAGGAACAGTGGCACATCTCACCCAGCTAGCCGTAGAAACAGGGAAGTCTACGGCATGTTTATGCATTTTGCACACAGTTGCCTGCAGGAAACAAGCTCCATCAAAATGGGATTGAAGAACTCTGGTTCTGCACTGGAGACTCCCAGGCTCCCCAGGCTGACACAGGCCCCACGGCGCCTTGATCTGCTTCATGATCTGCTGCTGGCTGCTGATCTTCTCGCGCACTTGCGCCACCCTTAGGGACGCCCCGTGTCCCGTCAGGGTTGCTTTAACATGTTTTATCATCAACCATCATCGCAACTGGGCTCAGCTTTTGGCTCCGGATCGATCTTGTCCAGCATCGCGATCCTTGGGGGTGCATAAATGTAGTTGGGGATGCTAGCCGCTATGTCCTAGAAGCACTTGAGAGCTGAATAGATGGTTCACTGTTCCACCTACAGCCCTGCAGTACAATTACAGCCACTGTTAGATACAAAGATGGCCAGGGGTCTCCCTCAAGTCTTAGAAACGCCAAGTCTCTTGTCAGCCGACTTGACATCTGGTTCCTTCAGCTTCTGCCACTTTTCCTGACGCACGGGCCCAAAGGTGGACTGCAGGTCTCAACAAACAGCTTTAGCATTAGCTTCAAATTGCCCAAAATTATCGTTCACTAAGTTCACTACTAGAAAATCCTGACATCTATTTCACTGCTTGAGATTTTCGCCTTCAATTTGACCCATGGCCATCTGAATGCCCCTCGCGCAGAAATCCTTTTTTCACACCCGCTGGCGTTTTCTCTCACCTTCCGCTACGTCCTCCGGGTGTCCATTGACCTTAGTGGCTCAAGGACTTAGTGGTGAGATGTGAGGGACCAGTGTTCCAACCCATTTGTATTACACGGATATAGCCTCATATAGCACTATCTGGCTCAAAATTGGGCCTCTAAAGCCGAAAATGGGATGATTAATTAATCCCGAAAATTTATCAAAAGTGATCAATATCTGTGGTCAGGTCATAGAGTCATAAATCTTGACCCACACTCTTTTGGCACACCTTTTCCAACAGGACGAGGATCCACTTGAGCAGTTCCCTGTCCCACCAATGATCTTGCGGTACTGTCTCGGAGGAAGTGTGGACATGCGGGCCTGGGTTGCTTCGGCATAGAACATACTTGGAGGATCATCGCACGAAACGCAACTGGATAATAGCCATAGTTGCAATCCAATTAATTATAGAAGTGCTAACTTGATATGTTGATATCGTTGGGAGTTTCCAAACATATTCCAAACGTCAAATCTCCCAACTTGAACTAATTGATACTAACAGTATCCTAATTGAGTCTATTCCGTTTGTTGATGCGCTGTTTGGGTTGTGGTTTTGCCTAGAGATGTGGACCATACAGACTTGGTCCACAATTGTCATTTCCCTGCTGGACATGCGGTCATATACCTGCAACCGTACATCCAGGCACACCGAAGAAACATACGTATATATTTATACATATTGACACAAATGAAAACGGTGATGATGATGATGATGAGGAGGAGGAGGATGACGATGACGATGACGATGACGATGAGGATAAGGATGACAATGATGACAATGATGATGATGATGATGATGATGATGATGATGATGATGATGAAAATAAAAATGATGATGATGATGATGAGGATGAGGATGAGGATGAGGATGATGACGATGATGACGATGATGACGATGATGAGGATGATGATGATGATGATGATGACGACGATGATGACGACGATGATGAGGAGGAGGAGGATAAGGGTGCGGACTGCGGGCTGCGGACTACGGACTGCTGACTGCTGACTGCGGATGCGGATGCATGATGATAATGGTGGTGACGGTGGTGACGGTGGTGATGGTGGCGGGAGCAATGGGAACGATGGTAACACTGAGAACAATGATTTGAAATAGAAAAGATCTAATCATAGCAATGATAAGAACATAATGCTAATCATTGCTAATCATCATTATGATAATGATATCACATTCAATACATCTATGTACCCATATCTGCCATCCATATCCATTGGCAGGACATTGCACAATCCCGTCCACACGCAGTTAAGTTTTAACTTTCATGGTCGGCTTATAATAACCCAAAAGTAGCAGGGAGGCTACTAAGTCCTAACATTATACGTCAGGCTTCCTTACATTTTCGAGTTCCTGATTTTTCTTCAGCAACCATCACCATTTTGGGGGGTTCATGGTGCACACATAAGGATGGAGAAAACTCGGCAAATATGTTGTCAGGTGTCATACGATGTTAGACGAAAACTAATCATACAAATATATATATATATAACTATATCTGGCATTGGAGTTGTCACAACATCGGCATATGTACATATATGTATACATATATGTATATGTATAATGTGCATGTATATCTATCATTATCTATCTATCTATCAATCTATCCATCTATCTATCCATAAATCCATCCATCTATATAACACAAATCATACGTAGGTATATTTAAAAAAAAAGCACAAGACCCCATCAAACATTGACAAGATTCACTCTAAACTCTGGCGCTTCTTCTGGAGGCAGGGCTCTTTGGCACTCGCCCATGGTGTTGAAGCGGCGAACAGCCTGGGCGAACCCTCATCTTTAACCATCAAAAATGGCCAATGGTGAACCCTCAAACATGGTGGTTTAACATGGGAACCATCCTGAAATGTGAACGGATATGGTATATTATATATATATGTGTGTGTGTATTTATTTTTTTAGTTAGTTAGTTATTTACATTTGAGATATAGAACTTGGTAACATAATATATATTTATATATAATACATTATAATACCACCCATGACTGGGCCCGCAAATGAACAAATCCAATACATAACCAAGGTTTCATTTGGGTATTCAATATGAGGATGATTGGAGACTGGATGTGTTTCTTGAAATTGGGGACCTTGGAGACCGCTGGTGAAACGGCGAACCCAATTTTCGAAAACACCCAGGTAGGGTTGGTGCTGGTTTGGATCATGATGAGTAACATGATGACTGCAAGATTTGATCAACAGTAGTTGTGATTCAGCCAACAACAAAACGGATTTTGTTAAGCACATGCCTCGGAATTGACATCACAATTTCACACTTCATGGTGGATTTAGCGGAAAGTACAACTCTCATTTCGGCACAAGCGCTTTGCAGTGGCTGGCAAAACATGAGGAAATTCCTTCTGTACCCAGAAAAGCCATCCTACTTTGACCCTTCGAAAGCAATAATTCCTTTTGAGCCCAACCAAATAATGTTAGAAATATTATTGCCATTGAGAATCAAATAGGGATCGTTTCAAAATAGAAACGTGATGAACTATGTGCAACCATTATCTCAGAATAGCCCCGATTGCACAACAACCATCGGCCAAGGCAAGAAATCGAAGACCATCCAAGCCCGGCATCGATTCTGGCCTGCAACATCTCAATACTGTCAAGGAACATATCGCGCCACATCAGCAATCCGCAGCACATGGCCATCTTTCAGTTCCTCAAACCTTTCCTTGGCCAGCCGCTGCTCGTTCACCCAGGTACCATTCTTGGAACTGTCTGAAACCATCAATCGGACCGTTGCATCTGCTACGCCATCATAGTCCAAGGGGACCATCAAGCACAGCTCCTTGGATTTGCTTAAAACATATTCCCAGTAGCTTCCCCAGTCATGACTTAACTGTTGGGAAAACAGAAGATTTTTGTCATCATTATCAGCACATCCCATTAGATGCCAAAAAAAATACCATTTTTGATGGTGAAATCCCATTAAAGTACGTATATATATTTATATATATATATTAAAATCACCACTTCCAAGGTTCAGCATGTGCATTGGAGACAGCCGCTGATTCGTCCTGAATGCACAGGTGGCACTTGCGATGTTTTCCCAGTCGCAGCTTTGCCGGACCCCAGGGAGCTATCCTCAACAGCTCCGAAGGGGACACGCTGGAGCGCTTCAACGGATACAGCTCATAGATAGGACCTTTCACCTCGAGAAACCCCAAAAATAAGGTAAACATAGGTAACAATGAAGCAATATTAAGCAATTACCAATGGACAAATGGATCTTTTTGGAGTATTTGAATCGTCGGTATGTCTATTGTGCATCTTAGTTTGACAAATGTATCAAACATTATCAAACAACTTTATCAACCATGGGGGTCAGGTCGGGGCCATTGCCTGGAACTTTGCAGGCTTCTTCGGTAAAGCTACCACCTGACTGCTCCACTCCAAGCGTTTCGACGGCAAAATCCCTCTTGCGGCTGTCCTCAATAGGCTGGAGTAAGTGCCATAGACCGCGTGCAGGACACACATGTCTTTGCCGTGAACGGATGTCAAAGGATTGTAAAGGGCTTTCCCTGTCAATGCTTTGAAGGCAGAATACGCACCACGGCCGCCGCTGTCGAGATAGCGCACTACAAGATGCACGATATCAGATTTAGTCGGGACCAAACAAGCCTGAAGTGTGGCCAGGAGCAGGCTTGCAAATCTCCATTCAATGCAAATCCTTTTGGGGAATACCTTGAAATGCCATCTTCAAGTCAAAGCGGTACCAACATTCAAGTCAGTTGAAAGATGGTGAACCTCCCATGTTCCTTTTGAAGGCACATCATTGAAAAAAGAAAGGATGTTCCCTTTTCCAAGTATATATATATATATACAGTATATGTCAGCAGTGTGTGTCATCCATATTTTACCATATATATGTATATAATATATACCCTCCGGTAAAGGCTATGCAAAATATCCGTGTTGAATAGGCAATAGGCAAATCATCTATAATAAATGAACCGTTGTCATATGCTAAGCCACCATCCCACATGCCGGTCCCACCTCAGCCACCTGTCCAAAGATGCGCGCGAAGTCGTACCAGTGGGAGCCCACGCGGCAAATGTTCGGCCCGGCCGTCTCCAACACCACCCAGCGGTTGGGGAGCTCCTCGGTGAACTCAATATCCCAGCACTGGCTGCTATGATCTGGCAAACGTGGTATAATTCTGTCTATATCTATCTATATCTGTCTATATCTATCTATATCTATCTATATCTATATCTATCTATATCTATCTATATCTATCTATATCTATCTATATCTATCTATATCTATCTATATCTATCTATATCTATCTATATCTATCTATATATATATATATCTCTATCTATCTATCTATATCTATCTATCTATATCTATCTATATCTATCTATATCTACCTATATCTAAATATATATATCTCTATCTATCTCTCTCTATCTCTCTCTCTCTCTATCTATCTATCTATCTATCTATCTATCTATCTATCTATCTATCTATCTCTCTATCTCTCTCTCTCTATCTATCTATCTATCTATCTATCTATCTATCTATCTATCTATCTATCTATCTATCTATCTATCTATCTATCTATCTATCTATCTATCTATCTATCTTATCTATCTTATCTATCTATCTATCTATCTATTTATCTATCTGTCTATCTATCTATCTATCTATCTATCTATCTATTCTGATTAATCCATCAATCAATCAATCAATCAATCGATCAATCAATCAATCTATCTATCTATGTATCTATCATTTTTTCTATCTATCCATCTATCTATCATTCTATCTATATCTATCTATATATATCTATATCTATCTATATCTATCTATATCTATCTATATCTATCTATATCTATCTATATCTATCTATATCTATCTATATCTATCTATATCTATCTATAACTATCTATATCTATCTATATCTATCTATATATATATATCTATCTATATCTATCTATATCTATCTATATCTATCTATATCTACCTATATCTATCTATATATATATATCTCTATCTATCTCTCTCTATCTCTCTCTCTCTCTATCTATCTATCTATCTATCTATCTATACTAATTAATCTATCTATCTATCTATCTATCTATCTATCTATCTATCTTATCTATCTAATCTATCTATCTAATCTATCTATCTAATCTATCTATCTATCTATCTATCTCTCTCTCTCTCTCTATCTATCTATCTATCTATTTATCTATCTATCTATCTATCTATACTAATTAATCTATCTATCTATCTATCTATCCATCGATCCATCCATCCATCCATCCATCCATCTATGGATCCATCTATGTATCCATCTATCTATCCATTCATCCATCTATCTATCGATACATCTATCCATCTATCTACCTACCTACCTATCTATTTTCTATGTATCTATCTATCTATCTATCTATCTATCGATCTATCTATCTATCTATCTCTCTCTCTTTCATCTAATTACCCAATCTATCTATCTATCTATCTATGTATCTATCGATCTATCTATCTATCTATCTATCTATCCATCCATCTATCTATCTATCTATACTATATATACTATATACTATATATATATACTATATACTATATATATACTATATACTATATATATATCTATAATTATATTCTATAATCCATCCAAATTTGGAGGTTTACAACATTTGCCTGGTGAATCAATGGCTTATTCTGCTCTTGAAAAACCATCGACTCAGCAGATCCATGGTTCCAAACTCATCCCATCTATCTGCAAACCATCCGGGTTCCAACACGTCTCCAGCCGCGGGATGTGCTGTCGTGATCCACTGTCGATGGTGTCGCACCAGGTCACCTTCGGCAGATTTGTAATGCGCACATTGGATGTAGTAAAACGCCATAGGAAACATCGGTTTAACAACAAGAACTTGATGATCTTGATGTACATGACAGGATGGGGAAAAAAAGTTGGTTTCTTGAAATGGTGACCCCAAGTTATCATCCTTCTGATTAGATCATTCAGCCCCTGACATCGACCTTGACCCCCGGCAGCTCCAAAGGTCTCCAGAGCTTGCGCTGCTCGATGCACTCTTCACTGTGGCACAGCAGGCACACGAACAGCCGCTTTAGCTCGGAGAAGTGGTCGTCCACAACCCCTGGAGCTGGCAGCCAAAATGGTCCACAAAATGCTGTCCCGTTGTTTGCCAACTGGAATATAACTAGGGTACTACCTATCATCATCCATAGTCATTCATCGTTCATCTTTCATCATCTTCTTCTTCCTCATCATCATCATCATCTTCTTATTATTATTATTCTTCATCATCATCATCCTCGTCATTGTCATTGTCCTCTGTGTTTGATGTTTTAAAACCCAGTCAACCTTCGAGAAAAAAAAAAACCTCCGAAAGCTTCAGCGAGCTTCCAACCACTGCATCCTTGCCAAAGGCCTCGCAGAGTCTCTTTCTTATCTCCTGTATCAGGCTGGACAGTTGCCCCAGCCCATTCTCCATCTCCACCTGCATGTCTGCCCAGACCACAGCCACCACCCCCACCGCATTGGACCGCCAAGAGCCCCATCTGCGGTCATAGTGCAGCTTGAGATGGTCAGAGCCAGGCAGCGCCTGCGCCGGCGGTACGGGTGCCTTGGCACTCGGTGCAGCAAAGCCCTTCACGGGATCGTGGCCGTCGTGGCGAGTTTCAGGGCAGTGACTGAGTTGGATCATGAGTTGGGGATGGTTGGATGGTCCGGGACATCAGGGACCAAGCCATCCTACGCAGTCTTTGGGCTCAGCGAATGAACCTCGCATCATGATGCGGAACGAGATGCGCCGCTGAGTCTGAGGAGCTTGGGCCAAACACTGGCGGCAGCAGCCAGCATCTTTTGAAACCAGGCTAAACCGCTCATCTTCCCAGTAATCTAACCATTGCTTGTCCAAAAACCACCAGTTACCCCCCATGCCTTTCCCACATTGACCTTCCAGGGACCTCCCAATGCCGGGGAAGGAATCTGGCCTCAATGGAGGCATTCAGCGTGGTGATCTCATCCACACCGGTCTTCACCTCCTTCTCAATGCGATCCTGAAGTTGATCCTGGATACAGCAAACATCAGCGCCCTTTGGGCGGAGATCTGGGCTCAACCATTTTGGGGGCTCCAGGAATTTCCCAAATATAGATAATTAGATTGACACCATGTTAAACTGGCAGTGTACACACCCACACCCGTCCGTTTTTCTTGGCTGGCACAACTCATGATTAGCACATGTCTTTGCAGCAAAAATCCATGTCATATCCATGTCATGTTTTAAAAAAAACTGGAACAAAGACTTTACGTACCTTAAGTTCGTCCATTCGCTTCTTTCTTTGAAGGTCGATCTGGCGATCCCTGGCGATGCCAATTTGAACCTGTGCGGAAGCTTTTCGAACTTTGGGTTTTCTGACAATCTCGGTGCTACATGAAAACCAGAATCCACTTCATGGCAACACCTTAAACTCCAAAAAGCACTTGCTTGGATGATGATCCCTCCACTCATAGCCGATGCATACAATACGTGTGAATATAGTTCGATGTCTGCATGTATATATATATATATATGTGTGTGTGTATATGTATGACCTCGTACAATTGTAATAAAAACTATAGAGTAGAATCGAGTAGAAAGTAATGAAACCCCATGAACCATGATGAAGCGACAATTTTCCTATAATTCACCAAGCTTTCGAGCGTGGCCCTGGGGGAAGCCTTGATTCTCTGAAAGTCGTCCTTGGCAACGCCCTTGGCCCCAGGAGCTGTGAGGTGCCTCAGGGCTGCCGCTGGGATTCTGGTTATGATCATTGAGATGGCAATGGCCATAAATGGTGAATGAATAATATTTAATATTATTTAATCAGAAAACAACTAAGTTGCTGCCAATATCCCCCAAATATCTCCAAAAGACTACAACTGACCTGGCAGCCAAAAATCCTCAAACATAACTGGGTCGCAGCGCAACCCTTAGGTTCTGACTTGATGATCTTGTCAGCAACAGGGTCCGGCAGAGTGAATTTGAACTCACTCAAGGCATACCTTAGGCTCCGAAATCGGGCTCAGATATTGGAAACACGGGGAAATTTTGAAAGACAGCAAAAGGGCTTCATTTATAATTGAATGCGATATAATATATATATATACTGTGAGTGTGCTAAAACTTGTTTTGAGAGCTCATACAGCTAGACAAGCAGGTAAAGTCTGTGTATCCAAGTTGCTTCTTCAAATCCTTCTTGTCCAAAAAGCCGTCCTGCAGCAAGTCCCGGGAAGTTGGAACCAGCTGAATGCATCGTTTTACCGAAGAAACTAACAACTAACTAGCTTCCAACTACCTACGTGGTAACCTTCCGCCATACATACATATATGTATGTGCATATTTATTTATTTATTTAGTTATTTATTTGTTTATATATATATGTGTGTGTGTGTCTGTGTGTCTGTGTGTATGCATGCATGCATGGATGTATGTATGTATGTAGGTATGTAGGTATGTAGGTATGTAGGTATGTATGCATATATATATATATATACATATACATAAATACATGTAAACATATATGCATGTATACATGTATATATATATATAGATATATACATATGTGTGTATACACATGGATCACCAATATCTATATCTACACACACACGGCATATATATCATATATCATATATATATATATAACATAAATATATATATATATTCTGCTACATCTAGGCACAATGTGGTGTAAGCCAATCTTACCAGACTCTTCCTGTAGTAGCCACCACCTCACGTTTTCTCTTCACGCTTTGTGGTCTCAAGATTCAGTGCGCTCAGCACTTGTCTCAGCTTCTCGGTCAACCTGCAGCGCCTCCAGAAAGTTGAGCGTAGAGCGTCCCTGAGGACAAAGCCGAGTTGGATACACCAGCAATGAGGGAGAAGCCAGTTGGGAGAGGTGATGACTTGTAACTTGTTGGAGCATCCCTTTTTGGCATTCAGGCCTGTTCAAGGATTTCCAACGCTTTTGGCACGTGTTTGAATGGATTTGGGAGGTGTCTTCAAGTTTGATTGTGGCTTCACTCTCAAAGACACAGGACGGTGCACCATCTTCTACACATGTGATATAGTTAGTTGATATTTTTGTAAAATTATGCATATAATTGTACATATATATAATCAAAGGAAGTTTAGGGGGAGAAACTTCCGTGTTACGGACTTTTAGAATGTCAGGGAAAGAGTTAGTCAAAGAAAGAGTTAGCAAAGAAAGAGTTAGTGAAGGAAAGAGTTAGTCACAGAAAGAGTTAGCAAAGAAAGGGTTCGTCAGGGAAAGAGTTAGTCAAAGAAAGAGTTAGTCAAAGAAACAGTAAGTCAGGAAAAGAGTTAGTCAAAGAAAGAGTTAGTGAGGGAAAGAGTTAGTCAAAAAAAGAGTTAGCAAAGAAACAGTTAGTCAGGGAAAGAGTTAGTCAAAGAAAGAGTTAGTGAGGGAAAGAGTTAGTCAAAGAAAGAGTTAGTGAGGGAAAGAGTTAGTCAAAGAAAGATTTAGCAAAGAAACAGTTAGTCAGGGAAAGAGTTAGTCAAAGAAAGAGTTAGTCAGGGAAAGAGTTAGTCAAAGAAAGAGTTAGTGAGGGAAAGAGTTAGTCAAAGAAAGAGTTAGCAAAGAAAGAGTTCGTCAGGGAAAGAGTTAGTCAAAGAAAGAGTTAGTCAAAGAAACAGTTAGTCAGGGAAAGAGTTAGCAAAGAAACAGTTAGTCAGGGAAAGAGTTAGTCAAAGAAAGAGTTAGTGAGGGAAAGAGTTAGTCACAGAAAGAGTTAGCAAAGAGTTCGTTCGTCAGGGAAAGAGTTAGTCAAAGAAAGAGTTAGTCGTCAAAGAAAGAGTTAGTCAAAGAAAGTTAGTCAAAGAAACAGTTAGTCAGGGAAAGAGTTAGCAAAGAAACAGTTAGTCAGGAAAGAGTTAGTCAAAGAAAGAGTTAGTCAGAAACAGTTAGTCAAAGAAAGAGTTAGTCAAAGAAAGAGTTAAAGTTCGTCAAAGAAACAGTTAGTCAGGGAAAGAGTTAGTCAGGGAAAGAGTTAGTCAAAGAAACAGTTAGTCAGGGAAAGAGTTAGTCAAAGAAAGAGTTAGTGAGGGAAAGAGTTAGCAAAGAAAGAGTTCGTCAGGGAAAGAGTTAGTCAAAGAAAGAGTTAGTCAAAGAAACAGTTAGTCAAAGAAACAGTTAGTCAAAGAAAGAGTTTAGTCAAAGAAACAGTTAGTTAAAGAAAGAGGTAGTCAAAGAAAGAGTTAGTGAGGGAAAGAGTTGGTGAGGGAAAGAGTTAGTCAAAGAAAGAGTTAGTGAGGGAAAGAGTTAGTCAAAGAAAGAGTTAGCAAAGAAACAGTTAGTCAGGGAAAGAGTTAAAGAGTTAGCAAAGAAACAGTTAGTCAGGGAAAGAGTTAGTCAAAGAAAGAGTTAGTGAGGGAAAGAGTTAGTCAAAGAAAGAGTTAGTCAAAGAAAGAGTTAGTCAAAGAAAGAGTTAGTCAAAGAAAGAGTTAGTCAAAGAAAGAGTTAGTGAGGGAAAGAGTTGGTCAAAGAAAGAGTTAGTCAAAGAAAGAGTTAGTGAGGGAAAGAGTTAGTCAAAGAAAGAGTTAGCAAAGAAACAGTTAGTCAGGGAAAGAGTTAGTCAAAGAAAGAGTTAGCAAAGAAAGAGTTCGTCAGGGAAAGAGTTAGTCAAAGAAAGAGTTAGGCAAAGAAACAGTTAGTCAGGGAAAGAGTTAGTCAAAGAAAGAGTTAGTGAGGGAAAGAGTTAGTCACAGAAAGAGTTAGCAAAGAAATTGTTCCCTCACTGTAAATGGGATTGCAAGTGGTGCTGGTGGAGGAGTTGCCGATGGAGTTTTGGAGGAAGTCTCGCCCGAAATGCGTTTTTGAGAGATAGCAGATGCACGAAAGCCTATGTTTTTCCATACAAAGTCCGTCCCCGAACCTCGATGATCTACCTCTGCGGTGCGACGGTTGCGAGACGGTCTCGTGTGTGGTCGGATCATTCTCGGATCATGCTCGGACCATGGTCGGATCGGTTCCGCATTGTAAATGGGGTTTCAAGTGTTTTTCGTGCATGTGCGGTCGACAGAATTCCATTGTGATTTGCAACTGTAGGATCGTTCCCGCAATGTAAATGGGATTGCAAGTGTTGCTGGTGGATGAGTTGCCGATGGAATTCCATTCTGCTTTGCAACTGTAGGATCGTTCCCGCAATGTAAATGGGATTGCTGTTTGCAACTCAGTCTCTGCAGATCGCATGTAATGGCTGCGTCAAGGTTGCTTCGTGCTGTGGCTGCATTCGTAATACTATTGTCTTTTGCAGCTGGATCTCGTAAATCGTATTGGAGTGGCTGCATGAAGGCTGCCACAGTGATTTGTCAGCAGATTTTATCCATTTTGGCGCTAATGATTTTCCTTCTAAAAATCCTTTTAAAAAGTGCTTCAAAATCGTCTTTTTTTGCTCTGGCGTCGAGATCCGGTTTTGGAGCTACAATTTCCGACGCCGTTGCGCGTAGTTCTATTGTGTTTTGCAACTCAGTCTCTGCAGATCGCATTGTAATGGCTGCGTCAAGGTTGCGTCGTACTGTGGCTGCATTTAAGTTTGGAGTGCGAAGAGCGCAGTGTGAAGTGTGAAGTGTGAGGTTTGGAGTGTGAAGGAAGCAGTGAGAAGTGAGAAGTGTGAAGTGTGAAGTTGGAGTGTGAAGTTTGAAGTTTGAAGTTTGGAGTGCGAAGAGTGCAGTGTGAAGTGTGGAGTGTGGAGTGTGAAGACTTTGCTTCGTCTCTCGCTGAAAAAATCAAACGGTTGTCGAGGGAAGGACACGGTCGGGACAGGGTGTCTTTGAACTATAGGTCATTTATGTTTGGGAAACTTCCGCCGCCGGCTTGCCCGGGTCTATGACTAGATTTGACTGAGAGTTGTCTCTACCCTTCCGCCCAGGTGCTGATGTTAGGCGGCCGTGGCCGCATGATCCGCTTGCTGTCGGAACGCCGTGATCATTTCCCGGAGCTCCTGGAGGCATCTTTGATCATTCGACAACGGACAAGGAGAATGAATGAGAATGATGAATATCCTGGTGGATTCTCATGATTATCCCATATATGATGGAAAAATATGGAAAATAAAACATGTTTGAAACCACCACCCAGATATAACCAGATATTAGATGGCTGATGGAATAGTTTGTGGATCAAACATCGAATCACCGTTTGGACAGGCCCAGGTGATCCCAGGTGCACCTTTTCAGCATCATCTTTTCGTTTCTCAAGCTCCTCGCTTCCTTTCTGCATCTTTGGCAGGTCCTGCTTTGGTTGAACTTCATTGAACTTCCATTTTTTGATTCAATAGATTGGTCTACAGTTTGAAGATCTACAGGAAACATCAGGAAACCATGGTTTTTACCATCAAATGATTCAAATGTCCATTTAAAAATTTAAACCAACCCAATGGGGATTGCAACAGGATTTGGACACGCATGGACACACTGAGCCACTTGGGAGGTAGAAGGCTTCTGGATAAACATCCCTCTATCCCCAAACCCAATTCTGCCTCAAGGCTGTGATGCTTTACCCAATCCCAACCAATACCGGTGGTGTCAACCCATCTGAAAAGTATAACAGCGGAAATTGGGGATCCGGATCATCGTCCCATTTGTGGGATGGAACATATGCAGAAATAAGTAGGCCCTATGTCAAACAACCAACCAAAGTAACCAAAGTATGAAGTTACATCATTATCGGCTGGCTTGTTGGGTCGGTCGCCAGAAATGATCCAGCAAGTCGGAGATCTTTGATCGACTCCTCGTCGATGTTGTCCATCGTCCTTTTCATCTCATCCTTGGCATGGTTCGACTGGCAGCAAATGCGGTACCCGCATGTACCCGCCACCAGCCATGGTGCAGCAACAGACAACGGGTGTGGAATGGTGTGTGGTGCAGCAACAGACAACGGGTGTGGAGTTGACCACGTAGACTTGCATAAACCCGAAGCCTGGATAAAGATGATAAAGCATTGGCTAAATGTACCTCCGAGCCCCACCAGGACCCCACATCTTTGGTTGAACTATGTTGAACTTATCTAACCGTGGCCGAGGTTCCAACATCACTTGTCTTTCGCCCAGCAAAAAGCAGCGACCGACACCTCTGTAGAGCTTGGCATCTTCCGGGGTGGAATCGATGGTCCTCGGCTGCCGAAGCCGTTGGTTTTTCGCAACCAGGGGGGTTGTCTCAAATGGGTGTTAGAATATGCTAGAGATGCCCCATTTGGGGATCCAATTTTGGGCATTTTTTTGCAGGTAAATGACGATAAGCTGCCGGAGTCGGGGATCCCAAAATGCAAGAGACAAACCCAATGATGGCAGCAGAAAGCCGTGGGAGAAATGAGCAAACGGACAATCATCATCCACCTCTCATTGTATGCCATCTCATAGCCTTTTGATGGTGAGGATGCAAGAATAAAGTATAAAAAGTAGATGAAAAGCAGGGTGCAAAGCGCAGTGTATATATATATACATATATATATATATCAGGAAAACAACAGCGGCTGAGCCTTTGACATGACATGTTGGTATGTCCACAGGGCAACCTATATACAAATTAGTTGGGGGGGTATCCTGCCTGAAACAAACATGGTTCAATGGAAAATAAACCCAAATTTGCAGATGGCTTCCCCGTGAAAGCCGAACATCTCCATGTCCTGGCTGTTACCAGCAGATGTTATGCGTGTGTGTGTGTGTGCATGTCATGTGTGTGTGTGATATTTATTTAATTTGTGTATATATTGATTTATGTAATTTAAATCAAAATTTATATATGATAAGCTGAAACGTAGGTAAATTGCTGTGAGATAAGGCATCACATGGCCTCAAAAATACCTAAGAAAACAAAAATATCTCCAAGCAAAAAAAAAATGGAACACCCCCAGGCCATCCGAAATCATTCACTGCTTCAAGCATCTGCTGCATCAGTTCCAAACGGACGCGCTGCCGCTGCTTGCTCCCTAGAGTCGCCTATGGCTATGTCGGCTATGTGATGATGTCTTTGGGGAATGATTTACTTTGGGATCTTTCGGGAATGGTTCAAAAATGGGGGCTTTAAAATCGTCTCGAGGGGTTATGCCATGGAGTTTCCTGGTCCCATGGATTCATGTAAGGTAAAATAAATATGAGGCTTTCCTGAAAATGTTCCGGTCAACCAATTCTGCACATGTTGCCCATCATGTTGCAGCGGGGTATGTTCATGCAGCAGGGCATATTGATTACAATATTGCTGGAGGAGAGGAAGAGGAAACAAGAACTAGAATGATTTGACATTGGCAGCACAAACGAAAACATGGGAAACCATGGCCGCCATGGCCACTTGTAAAAGCTACAACTGGAGCTTTAGCTCACCCCTTTGACAACCCCAGCATGAAACCGCAGGAGCTCCACATCTGCAAGTCCCGAGGCCTTCAATCTGGAGAGTTGTTCGTTGAGTGCCGTCACCTGCAGTGGTAGCTGGTGTCTCTCTGGTACCTCTGGTACCTCTGATGATACAACTCCAGAGATTCCACACCCCCAGAGGCCCAGAGACCCACCTTGTCCTGGATGGCCATAGCCTCGTCTGCATTGAAATCCCGCGCTGCGCTCTCTTGAGCTTTCCGCCTGGAAAGCGACGTGCTGGGCGCAGGGGCTATGCTGCGCTGGTTTAAATTCCTGGGAGACTTGGACAGGAGCTGATTGTTGGGTCAGTGCTACCAAGGTGCTGTGGGTGTCCTTAACTTGGATGTGCATCCCAGTTGGGATCCCTAATCTACAACCCATATCCTCATTTAATAATGGGTTATAGTGGGCAATATCCCTTGGATGTCAACAACTCGGTAATACCCAGCCGCCTCTGCTGCTGCCCTTGCAGCTTTTCAGCACAGGTGGCGCGCAACTTCTGCAGGTCAGCATCCCCGGGCCTTACAGGTAAACCATCCCCACCTGGAATGGGCGCCAAAGCTGTCACGTTTGGGGATCATCATCCCACCTTTGGGGATAAAGAACGACTGTGAATGAAATTATACAGTGCCAGTCGCTACATTTTGCATCATTTTGCTACATGTTCCCTGTTGTTCGCATATCCCCTATTTTTTTCTCGGTGAAACCAATAGCATCCATCTTTTCACATAGATACCAAAGCAGTGCGATTGTTTTCTACCAAGTCACTTCCAAAAACTATCGCCGTTCTAAATCCCTATGGATTGTTGGCTAAATAAAGCACCAACCAGCTCAACATCCCTGGAAATGATCCAAAAAAAAAAACAAAGAAAAACCATGGGAAAACCATGATGGCTTTCTTCGCTGAGGGGCGCTTGCTCCAGTCCCGCTTCGCAAAAGTCGATGCCATTGCGGCACAGGTCCAGCTGAAGGGAGGCCCGGGCAGCGCGCCAGTAGGCCTGCGGTTTTTTGGGGTGCCGATTTTGTGGATCAATACCTCCAAAATAAAATAAAATAAATCAATGGATATTCATTATATAGTACAGTATGTATGTACATATATATATATGTATATTTATTTATTTATTTATTTAATTATTTATTTATTTAATTATTTAATTATTTAATTACTTGTTTGTGTATGTGGAGGTTGATTCTGCTACTTTTCTAAGTCCATTTTTTCAACAATCCAAGCAGACTCCGGTCGAAGCCTTGATGTTTTTGGGATCTCTTTCGATGGCTTTTCGGCAATCGTCCACCTCAGTGCGGGAACGCGGCAACCTGGTGCACTCTGAGAGGCGACTCTGCTGTGAAGCTTCAACGCAATGACAACAAGAAGAAAAGTAGCCAAAAGTAATTCAGTAAATCATAGTAATTCATAGTAATTCATAGTAATTCATAATGACAATCGTGCCAAAAGTAAGTAAATCATCGTAATTCATACATGGGCCAAGTGTTCACATGAGTGTTGGCGATCAACTGCGGTTAGCCCATTTGTGAAAATGTGGTGGCACCCCCAAAAAAGAAAACATGTAAGCCTACCTTTCAACCAGAAGTCTGGGAGACTTTCATATCTTTCATCCCAGCTGCAGCTTCAACGAATTGCCGCAGCAGGAGCCGCACGTGCGCGCGGTTGCTGTACAGCTGCGCATTGAGCACTGGATCGCTACACCGCACTTCCAAGCCTTGGCAGGTCGTATATGCTGCACTGATGTTTATAATGTGGGAAACCCAAGGCCGTAAACCTACCTGTGTCTATTATATATATGTGTGTGTGTGTTGATAAAGTTATATATAATACATCTTTATATGAAATCATCAGCAGCTCTGTCCTGAAATCAGTAGATTGAGAAGGGAAACCTTGACCTGTTCTTGGGGAGGGCTGCTGTATCTTGGACGAGTGCAAAAATGGTGATTACCCCAACGGGCTCTCTGAACTGTCCTCAAGGCCTAGGGCCTAGGGTCTAGGATGGTCCCAGTCACACACAACAATGCAGATGTATGAATGCACCACATCTGTGTTCCAAGAATGTGTCAGCACACACCTGTTTATTAACCTTCATACCTCAAAACAATAGAAACCAAGAGAAAACAAGCAGTGATTCGCATACATCGCCTCCTATGTGCATTCTACGTCTTCTGCAACTTTTTTTTCGCCACAAGTCAAGAGGAATAGTGGAATTCACCAATCCTCTTGTCCATGCGGGTAGGTGCAGTCCAAATGCAATATAGTCCTGCATCCGATGGCAGGTGCAGGTGATGTTCCATCCCAACATGAGCACATGTACATATGGGTGTTTCCAACAGCTTTGAATACCACAACCCGTACATGCGTAAAAAAAACTTGCACAAATACACAAATAGATTATCAAGTGATAATTATAGGATGTATACATATCACATTTGTTAAATATGCGCAGTATGTTTCCATATATATATATATATTTATATAATATATTTGTATTTATTTATTTAATTTATTTATTCATATACATTTATTTACTATTATATGTACAGCATGTATACTATAGCAACCCCTCAAGGGGAACTGTCTCACTCACTGGGGGTTACTTAGACCGTCCTGGCGCACATAGCGCATCACTCGCTGAAGCGTTTCCTCCAGGAGGAAGGCTCCAGATTTGGAAAACCCCCTAGTTTAATGGATTGATCTAAGGGAGAATTTACAGGAACGCCCCCATATTTAATACATTTAATGGGAAAATGGGTGGTTTCCAGTGAAGATTTTCCCTACACCGATCTATTGATATATTACTTTAAAAGTGTCCCTTGACTTAAGTTCCCCCGGAAATGACTTTCCTGAAACCATCACTGACTTTCTAGTGGTTGAGTTACCAATCTGGAAAAACGCATCACAGAAATTCCACCAGCAACAAAGCAACAACAAATTGGTTATAATGCAAAAATGGCTGATTGGTGGTTTCAAGCCCCCTGCCTTCCAAAAACTATGGTCTGATTATATAGGATTGCAATCCCTCGTAGGATGGAAAAAAGGAACTACTATTATAGATTACCATATATCTTATTTCTACGAGTCGTATCTATGAAACCACCGAATAGTTGAGTTGGGCTGCTTTCAAGTTTTCAGTTTCAAAAAATGCGCGCCCAAAAAGATCTCTCTCCAAATCGAATTTTCACGAGGATACAGGGCCCAATTTTGATCAAGCTATTGGTGAATCCAGCTGTGTCCACAACGCCCGAGGCCGCCCATGTCCTTGCCCCCATAGAAGGCGCGAAAGATGTTGCCCTTGCTCCCGCCAAGGTTGCGGTGGATATTTGCATGCCTCTCCATATATTTGCTGGCAAAGCCCTGGATGGGGAAGTACTGATCCGCCAACTGGCACGCCAGGTCTAAGGATAGACCCAGCTTCTGCAACATCGCCCGGACCTGCAGATTCATCTGCCACTTGTCTGAGGTCATCAAACCAACAAAATCCAGGCGTTGCCAGGTGAACTGACAGCCATGCAACAGATACACACTCTGGGGGATCCAATGGTCGTTTTGCAGCATTTTCGCCGTCGAAATTGGCAGAGAAACGAAGACCCGAAAGGCCCGGAGCTTCTCGCGCCAGGGGCTCGAACTACTCACGTTCCGCCAGCCCAGCCTCAAATCATCTCCACAGTGCGAGGAAGGTTTCCTTGGATTTGCAGGGGCCATTAAAAATCATTGATGAAATGTAAGTAGATTCCTTGTGGATTCAAATGGATTGGGTGATGGGAAAAAGAAAATCATCTGATTCTTCAGAAACTCCAAGTTTCAGGCACTTATCCAGGAAGGCAGACACAAATCGTTCCAGCGGATCTCGCACAAAGACCGCGAATTTCCATCGTGGATCCCTCCAGTAGTCATGGGATGCAAACCATCCAGAAACACGGCTGTCAAAGCGGGAAGCTCCATCCAGAAAGTCAGAGTAGGAAACATTTAAATGGCCCACACGATTCAGGAGAAGGTACCACTGTGAGAGGCCTGCTTTAGGAATGGGACAAAAGGCCACCCTCTTCCTGGGTATAATCTGGATCCGGTTCAAGAAAACGCCCCATCGAGTCTCAAAGAAATAGCGGCTCGCCCCTACCACTGAGAATCCCACCCTCGAAGGTCGGGCCTGCCACTCAAAGGGCTGCAAGTACCAGGATGGCAGCGGCCCCATAGAGGCTATGGCTAAAGATGCTTGCAGCTCCCTCCCTGCCTTCAGATGTTTCTCTCCATCCCCGTCCCCATGCAGCCTCAGCAGGACCTCGCTACGTCTGGGGGAGCGGCTCATGTCATAGGCGCCGCCCAAATACCCAAGCTTTTTCAGCACCACGTGCCAGCCGAGCATGCGCTCCATGCTGCGAGGGCATGAAGCTGGGACGCACACGCCCAAATGGCTGGAGCCTTGGTACTGCTCTGCTGGAATCTCCTGCTCAGGACGAGCCATGAGCCAGTTTTAGGATATGGAGTGAAGATGGGAATGGTGCCAACCAAAAAGAATTGGTCGATTATGATCCGACTCGGATCAGGGAGAAGAAGAAGCATTCCGCCATTTCAGAATGGATGTTTGAACCTCGGACCTACGTAAGATGTCGTCCAAGATATACGGCATACACCCATGAAGCCAAATCAAAGATCAACAAAGCCCCCACCTGATTGGCAAGCCTATACAGCACTTCATCTTCCACCTCGTTGGCCCAAACCTGTGACATTAGTTCACCAACCTTGCTCACTGCAAAGGTGTCCAGGCGCCAGGCTCGACTTTGCCGTAGGGCAGGACAGAAGATGATGTACCTGCCACGCAGTTTGCTGCAGTCCTGGAACTGTTGTTCCCAGGCACCCCACAGCGACTGGCCACTGTGTAGCCGATAACCCCCATCGAACTTTCTCAAGCATTCGGAGGCGTCCGGTTCACGATGCCGGCCCTGACGAATGAAGGCCCATTCCTGGCCCAAGTAGCGCTGGAAGTGATACTGAAAGGTCGATGTATTCGATGCCGGCAAGAACGCGTCGGACATTGCGACCCGGCGACATGGCGCTAGTGCCTGTGTGTCTGAACAAATAAGGCCCGGGGTGTCGGAGCCTTCAAGGCTCCACATACAGTGCCCTGGTCTTGCATCGTCTTGCTGTGTCTTGCTGGCATACCTGATTCTACCCTCTGGATATAAAATCCAGCAACAGAAAATCCCCCTGTTCGTAAATGTTTCTACTGAATCTCCTGCCAATATTTCAAGAATCCAAAACTGCGGCTGCTTTGAGCCTTTATCCGAGAAGGCAAGCGCGAAATGACGTGCTTTCAACATGCTGGGACGGCCAAATCATCTTGGAGCGTCCTCATTTCCGCCCTGCCGAGAGCACCAAAAAGCAACATTTGTTCGTTATCTAGAGATACCATTCAGTTGTCTTGCATATGCCGATTTGCTGCGTGATGCATGACGATCTACAACATGATCTACCCACAAGATCCGGCCATGCCATGCCGAGCAGCCACTGGTGAAGAATTCCAAGGCTTCTCTGGCGGCAGACTTGGTATTGTCCTTTCAGTGGGGTGAATCCCGTAGCGGCTATGGAGGTGACCTCCCTAAGCCGGAACAAAGGGTGTAACTTCCATTGCCAAGTTAGATTGCCATTGGCAAATCTAAGTTGATTAAATTATGTATATATATATAGTATTATTATGTATTATTAATATGGGGATATATGAGGTGATATGGGGTGTGCCATTGATAGCCGCAATCGTTTGATACTGCTTTTTGGGGGACCCAGCCGTCGTCCTTCAGCCTCTCGTTGCCCTTTTTTTTGAAGGCTTCCGCCTTTTGGCCTTGATGGAACAGGGGGCTCTCAATGTAGGGGACAACTTGGATCAAAAAAAAAACGTGCATTCTTATAGGTTCTGGTAGATTCTCTCCATTTTTGATAGATGTTCCCCTTGGCACAACAGAACAATATCTCAAGCAAGACCTGAGGAGCGTACTTCCAACCTCTATGACCATCTGAATTTGCAACTGGACCATAAGCATTCATACAGTAAATCCGCTGGGATAAATCCCCTCGGGAGTGTAGTCATCCTAAGATTTCACCTTAAGAGGATTATAATCCAAACAGCAACCGCCAGCGAAACTGAGGCCCAGTTGCTAAGCTCGAGGATGGCTTCAGGATCATCTTCTTTTCTTTTCAGTTCGGCCAAAGCGGCATCAACATGAGCCTCTCCATGGTTTTATGGTGACCCCTGTGGAGTGACCCTTGCCGTTGCCTGGATCATTCGGTGTTTTTCATTGGGAGCCCACGGGTTTCCCACATCATTCCAATGATCCATCAATTACCCATTCATTACCCTCACTATTGCTGGCTATACCTTCATGAATGATTAACCATTGGTTGACTCGTATATAAAATGGATAATTCCCAGAATAGTCAATGCTTAATCATGGTCCATGGCCGTAATAAATCATACTTGACTATTGAATGACTACTGATCATCATATCAACTTCATAAATAATAATCATTGATTCACTATGGTTATATTAACCATTGATTATCATTATATTAATCAGTATTGATATTTTATTGACAATTAAAAAATATTAAAAATACAATTAAATCATTCTATCAGGATTATATTGACCATTACAACTACATTACCCTCTGGTAATTTAACATAGCTATGGAAAATCACCAGTTTTAATGGGAAAATCCACTATAAATGGCCATTTTCAATAGCTATGTTAGTTTACCAGAGGGTAACACTATACAAACACCATCCATTTTCCATCCCCTCCGCCGCGCCTCGTCCGCTCCTGCGCGCTTCGCTTCTTCCAGGGCCGCCTTGATCTGCTCGGGGTCACCGCTCTCCTGCGACCATTTTATAGTGGTCTTAAGGCCAGTCATTATGGGAAAAATCAACAGAAATCATGTATATATAATATATGTGTGTGTACTTCTTATCTCTATCGAATTTCTATCTATATAATTCTATTTTATAGATATATATATATATATATGTATATATATCCATCCATCCATCTGTCTGTCTATCTCTCTCTCTCTCTCTGTTATGAAATGTAATTATGTATTTATCCAATTCTTTGTCTATTTTAGGATTATTTGGGTTTATGTTAGTGTGGTAAGCCAAATGATAGACAATCCCCACTACTACAATGAGGTGGTGGTGAAAATCATCCCTAAATAGATCTAAATGGTAGGTTTTATGTTGGGTTTACCACATCAGAGAGTTCCAGTTTTTCTGGAAATCTCAGGAAATCCTGTACTGTAAGATATGCTATGATTGCAAATTACCAGTGGTTGTCGTTGACAACAGAACTTCGACATGCACACATTGAATTGAATGCCGGGAGCTGCTTGATTTGCATGCATCGCTCCTGCGCCTTTGCGAGGCGTTCGCCCACCGTCCTTGGCTGACTGGAGAGGTGGTGGAGGAGTTTGACCCATAAACAAAGGCAGGAAGCCACCAGAGACGCTCTGGGAATGCCTTCCGAATTCGATTGATTTGGGAATTTGGAGCTTTTGAAACCCACCGAAAATGAGAAGCTCAAGATATTACACGCTCTACAGGCCAAAAGTGGTCAATACACGCTCACAGAAGGCAAAGAAAATGTTTGATATGTGGGCCTTGTCTGAAAATACCCCCAATTCCAATAGATGATCATGATTTTCCCAATTAAAATATATATATATATAAATATATTGAAATGGCTATCTATGGCTTCTCCCAAATGCCTGAAACTGGTCAACTCCAACCCAGTTTCAGCCGAGCAGCTCGGGCATTGGCGCTGCCCGAGCCGAGCCACCACCGAGACCCTGAGCCAAAAATGTGCCTTGCAGTTGGGACGGTCATATCATCAACCTGGGAAGTACATGGGCCATGGATGGCCATGGGACAAACAGAAGGTCCATCTTCCAAAATAGCTGAGCCGCAGCCATTGAGCCATTACTATCCATTACTAAGTTTGCCATTACTATCCATTACTAAGTTTGTTTTTTTTGGTATCGAGAATTCTGCCACCTGGAGTGTTTGGCAGTTCCTGCGCCCAAGGGACCCAAGGGACCCAAGGGACCTAAGGGACAGGCTGTCCTTGTTGGCGTCATAGGTGGCCATCCTGGCCAAAATCTCCTGATGCCGTTGTTGGCCATACGCTTTTCTCAAGGCTTTCTTGCCTCAGAAAACCGCGAGAAATTGGAGAACCAAAAACGAAAATGGGACAACGAAGATGGGGCCATCATACATATATTACATTATATACACGTATGTATATATATGTGTGTGTATGTATATCTGGGTGGTTGTCTGAAAGTAAGGTATATATCCAAATCCAGTGACGATCATCATGTTCGTTATTAACATTGCCATTTGAGGGGTATATCATGGTGTATGTCCCATTGTCAGACCAACCCATATCTTTAGCCTTCCGTTCGTGGCACAAGCTTTGACAATATTGACAGGTTGTTATATAGATGAATTCCATCGCAGCTTGCAGCCGACTTCAGGCTCTGACAGTCTTGGACCCTCTTCATATTTTCGACGTGGCCCTGGCACGACAAAGGCAGTTTATCACCACCCCATTCTCTGATGTCCGGTGTCCCCGTTGATATGATATGACCAAATAAGCACCTGGAGAAGGGAGGCAAAAAAAAAAAACATGAAAAAATGATCAAATTGAACCAAAAACTGGATGGAGCTATGTATTATATTGTATTATTGCGTCGTGTGGGGCCGTATAGCTACATCATGCTACATCATGCTACATCATCGTCACACATTTTTCCGCCGCCGTGGCCATCTCTTCTTTGAGCTTCCGGTCGTTGCCCGCATGCACTGCGCGGCGGCGCTGGTTCTCCGTGCACCAAGGGCAGCAGCGATCAGGGTCATCTTGGTATTCCTCAGGGCAGTTGTTTTCAGCCCGGGCTGGAAAAATCGCCCGAACTAATCTTGGTTCTGGTGGCTTGTAGCGGGTTTCTGCCAATGATTGGAGATGATTGCATCTCCAACTTTAGAATGGAATCCTCAAATTGGGATCCTGAAGATCACTTTACGACTGGTATGGCGTGGCAGGGTATGGTATGATCCCTTGTTGGGCTGGAGCATGTAGCCACATTCAAACGCTCCTGACAGATTAGCCAAGTGGCTTGCACCACCAGCTGCAAGCGCAAGGCGAAAAAGAACAAGAGATCATCGAGGCGACCTTCTTCACCACCTTCATCCGAAGATTAACTGTGGCACATTTTGTTGGCCCTACAAAATTGGACGGTTCGAGCCACTTTTGATGGTGTTCAATGGTGAAAACCCTTACCAATCTTACCCAAAAATGCTGACAAAACAATATAAACGGACCAAAAATGGAACAAAACCTTCGAACAAAACCTTGAACGGGGCGACTCTGGGTCAAACCCTGGCACCGGTAGTCCACATCAAAACAGCTGGTAGCCATGGACGTTCAGTGACGTTCGGCCCCAAATTCAGTGAAAATATGTGAAAATCACATCCCCCAAACAAAATCAGACAAACCACCTGGATCATCCACAACTTCTAGATTTCATCCCATGGATGTCATCATAAAATGCCATCTTTTTCCCGGTCCCATCCTTTCCCGGTCCATCCCATAAAAGGCCTTGAGACCTTTGTCGCAGCTGCAACAGGCTATGCAAACACTCCGTGGTGGACAGCAACCCCCGCACATCGGCCAATTTCTCCGTGGCGGAACGCCAGAAGCAGCTGCGGGCATCGACCCCGTCGTTGGGACCCAGCCTGGATGTGCTCAGTGGTTGGATTCGTTGAATGTTTACTTAATGTTCATTTAATGTGCATTTAATGTGCATTTAATGTTCATTTACCTGCAAGTGATTGATCATGAGATATCATGAGTATATGTGTGCCAGAGGGGTAGGACACTCCAGACTGGTCTCTGATAGAACTTGAGAATAGTCCACTTCCACACCTGTCGGGGGTCACTATGGCCATGGCACGGTAGACAAATCTCCAAGAAACCCACCTTCCCATTGTGAAGATCAGTTGTCACTCCGTTGTATGTGTATTTGATGTATTTGTATCTGTCCCTTGTTTGGTTTGCATCCTGGCTTTTTGTTTGATGCTTAGTTATACCTCAGTTATGCTTACGTAGTTGAACTTGTTGCTTTGTTTCATCCAAATCTTTTGATGGTCAAATCACATTGATTTGTTTGTTTATTCATCCATTTCAGCCTGTTCCCTACCTGAAACAACTACAGATTCACTGTGACAGTTTAGGCTTCATATTGTTGCTTTCTTGTGCCTGGTTCCATACGGTATCTATTCTTGCGCTGCTACATCTGGGGCTTGCATCCCTCATGAGTGTAATTTCCTGCAATTTGTGCTTTCAGCCATGGCCTTTTTCCCATAACAAAGGTGTATTTCGCGGAGGGGGGAGGAAAAAAAACTCATGTTCCCATCACATAGGGAATTGGCATTTCCACTCCAACCCCCCTCCCTCCCCCCCAAAAAATATAAAAGAACAGCCAATTCCCTGAGTTTCCGGCTTCATGGCTGGCAGCTGCTTCAGCTGCAGCTTAGGATCCTCCACCACTGCCCTGGCATGTTTCCAGCGGCTGTCCACCAGCACGAGGCGAGTCACTTCGGACCAATCCACCAGTGAGGCGTCGATGGCGTCCTGGATCAAAATGGTGTATGCCCACGACTATCAATGAGTACCATTTGATCCATTTGGTATGATAATATAAATGACCATTGTATCATAATACCATCAATGAGTATAATAGTTTGATGAAAGGCATTTGTGCATTCCCGCAGGCTCCTGACTGGGGAACACCAACCAGGTACCAGGACCCAATGCACTACAACTGGCACGGCAATTGTCGCTTTGCCATTCGCAAACCTCAATATCTCTGGACAGCAATGGCAAGGGCGTGGCAGATGACTTTGCTGCCGCTTCTTTTGGGTGTCGGAAAATCAACACCTGCAGCCCCAAATCCAAGGGCTTGGGCAGAGGGACCACACTCTGAACACACTTGGTGCAGTATAAACGCACTGCTTTGCCACAGTCTGGGCAGTCACTTCTCTGCAAACTGCGTGTGGCATCTGCATCGCAGCTGAACTTCAGCGTGTCCAGGAAAGTGAGGGCTGCCAAAGCCGCTTCGCAGCGTGCGGACATGGCAGCGCTTGCATGGTGAGCACAGAAATAAGCTTGAGGCCAAAGTCAAGGGCTTGGGTGCTGGCTAGAAACGTAACAAACATCATGGGCGCAAAACATCTGGGCACCAAAATGACACCACAATCTGATATGCTTGGAGAATACCTATTCTGATTCATTGCGTGATACAGGTATATAATATATTATAATATTATACCGTATGCAAATATCATCCAAATCTTCATAGCAATTCATAGCTCATCATAGCTCACTGGTGTCCATCTTCAGCCTGTGGCCCTTGCGGTGGACATCAGATCTCGGATGCCCACCTCACCCACGCTCAAGACCTGTCCCTCATCGATAATGAATTGGGAGCAAGCCTGGCTTCTGCAGCTGTCGGGATGGAAACTTTCCAACATGAATCATATATGAATATTATATAATATTGTGAATCATATTGATATTAGCCCCCCCATCCACAACAAAAAAATAAAGACCCCTTCTATAAAATCACTTCCACTCATTTGAGAGTTACTCCAATCCCGGCGGACCCGATCGCCTTTCAGGAGACCTCCCCATCCCGCCGCCCCCATCCCACCTTGATTGCAACTTCAGCTTTTTCCAAGGAGCCCTTCTCAACCTGGAGGCCATGACACGACCAGCCGCCGGGGCGCCCCTTTTAACGCAGCTGGCCTTCTTCTGCAACGTCGCGATAGCAGCCTGCAAATTGTGGGATGGTCATGGATGATCACATTGAAATTTTGTGAGGACTACAGCAATTACAATGATGGTTAAAACATTATCATGTTCAGCAATGGTGATGATTACAATTGAGGACTATTACAGCAATTTCAGCCTCAATGATGGCTTCAAAATGCTTCAAACATGCTGAAATCACTGAACCGGACCGGCCTCTGCAGTCGCAATCTTAGATGCAAGCTCCTGCAACAAAACTTTAGCACCACAAGAGTTACCCTCTGGAAATTTAACATAGCTATTGAAAATGGCCATTTATAGTGGATTTTCCCATTGAAAATTGTGATTTTCCATAGTTATGTTAAATTACCAGAGGGTACAGGCACTGCAAAACCTCCAAAGTGACAACTGGAAAGCGAGCGTATCCTTCATCAAGGGCTCTGCCTTGGCCTGCTGTCGCGGCGCTGGTAGCCGACTGGTGCCAATGGACTATATAACTGAACCCACAACATCCCGCAAACATCTCCCGTCTCCGTCTTGGCTTCACTCGACCAACGGCAGGCCGTATTTTTTCGCAATTGGACATTCTGTTGCAATAGTGATGTACATTTTTGGACACTTGCACTACCAATTCAGAAGTGAAACACTGAGCATGACAGCTCACAGCAACTTTGGCGTTGAGTTTACTACTACTGGCCCCTTTGATAAAGGGGCGCCCGTTTTGTTAGGGCGGTGGTGGTGGCGGTGGAGGTGCTGGGGCACTCTCACTTTCGGCTGCTTGGAACAAGGACTTGTAGTAGTTGATCTGGTTCACCGGGTCTGGAACCAGAGTAACTTCCTGAGGCTTCACTACTGAGTCGCACATTGGGCACTGGTCGTTCTGCTGCAGGGTGGCTGTGAAGACCGAATGCCTGGCTGGAAAATTGCAGGCCGGACAGTTGGACCAGTCCTCCTTCAACATGCGCATGCCCGAAGCAATGCAGAAGGGAGAGATATTCTTGCCTGGATGCTGGTGAGACATGGTGAGACATGAACCTTGGGGGTTCATCATCTCTGGGGGCTTGCAAAAGTATGAAGGGCAATGTGGCAAACCCAATAATGACAATATTATAATAACAATAAGAATTAATAATGATAATCGTAGTAAGAATAATAGTAATAATGATAATGACAATGGTCACAATAAAGTGCCCCATGTACCCCATTTACCCAATCTTGCCATTTGGAAGGCAAAAGACCATCTATCCATCATTATCCATCCACCTGTCAAGAGTTGTCAAGCCAAAATCAGCCCTAAATCATCCCTAAATCAACAGCCAGGTTGCAATTCAGGCAGTCCAGTTGGGACTCCACGAAGGAAAAGCCACAGTACATGCACGGCAGATTCGCCTCGAGCACATCCCGTTGATCGCTATCCGGCGGCGGCTTCCGCACGATGTTCTCGATCTTCTTGCGGTACTGCTCCGAGACGTCCTGTAGATTGTAGAGCTCAATGGTGGTTTGAACCAATCCCAGGGATCTATGAATCTCTAGAAACTTCAGATATGTTTGATATGTTAGTCATGATTGGTCTTTGGGGATTTTCATTCCAAATATAATCCATCCCAAATATATCTCCCGACGTGAAACGTGCTGAAGCTAAAGCCAGTGACATTGAGGATCATCCCATTGGTGGAGACTAGTTCCATTGGTTGTTCACTGTCCATTGGGAAGTCTTTCATTGAAGGGAAGTATTTGCACAAAATGGGAAGTAGAACGACCAAAAATGGGAAGTACTCCATTTTGATCTGACCTTTGGTCGGTCAATTTCCCATGAAAACATCAGTACATGCCAGTACACTTCTGACCTACGCCTGAATGGTGAGACCTCCGTGGTCACTTCAATTTTCCCCAGCCAGCATCCTTGCGGTACTCGGGCTTCATCAAGGTGCAGGCATATTGATAGGACTCCCCAATCATCTTGGCGCGTTGGCATTCGATGACCACGGAGGTCAGGATGGGGACCACGTGTGCCGGAAACTGCTGGATGTTCTTGGCCACTCGGACCAACATGATGGCGGCGCTGGGGTGGTCTCCAGCCTTCACCAAGCGCTTCACAATCACCTGAGATGTGGGGTTCTGATAGCCATCCCAAGGATTTCTAGACTTGGTTGATTGAAGACCATACGTGTAATTCATCAAATCTTTGCTCTTAAACAACAGGAAATCACTCAAACCAACCCCATTAAAGTGCAGCGACTCGACTGCATCGAACCTAGTAGAGTGATTAGAGTGGATGATTAGTTGGTTTTGACCTGCAGTCATTGCCGTACATTGCCATGGCACATAGGAGTGCAGCAGCATGAGCCGTCTCCAGAGCTCTTGTGGCAGAGCCAGCTGTTGACTCTTCAAGTCCTGGTAGGTTCGGAAAAGGAGCTGATGCGCCTGCTTGTAGTTGCCCATCTCCTGCTCCTGGAAGGGCGAAAGTAAGAGGAAAGTAAGGGCTCGAAAGTTTTGATTTGGAGCATCCAGAGGCATGGTTATTAACTTGGATTTTGGATCGCAATTTTCCCCTGGAAGTGGGGGTCTAAATTATCTCAATCTTTAATTCCACAAGTTGTCTCAAGATCGTCCCTTAAATGTCGCATGTCGGCGCTACGATGTCACAACCCCACTGGTCCTGCTTGGCAATGATATGAGCAGTGCCCGCCGCCTGCATGTAGTTGCCCAAGGCTTTGTGCAAGCGGTAGACATAGTTGGCATCCTTCGGGACGTTGTCAGTTTCACCCATCAAGTAGTCAATGAGTGTGTGAGTCAACGAGTCATTCCTTGCCCGCCCCACCACCTCAATGGCGTGGTCGATCTCCTTCTCACCAACCTTCAAGTACAACTTCAGGGCAGTCGAATACTCCTCGCAGTTGGCATAGTGTCTTGCCGCATATGCTAGGATGTTTCTCTGCTCATAGTACTTGGCGATGCGTTTGTACTGATCTCGTGTGCCATTGTCTCCCAGCCCAGCTTCATAGGTGGCCATCTCATCCTGCCTTTCAGCCAGCAGGAAGGCCTCCTCATCATTCTTGGCCAAGAGATAAAATTCCACGGCACCCGCCACGTTGCCGTTCTTCCGGCAATACTCCGCCACACGCTCCGCCCCGCTGGCCAATTTGGTCTCACGAACCAGCTGGAAGGCTTTCTGGGGCTGGTTCAGGTTGTCCAAACAAATCCGGACCACGCTGTCCAAATCTCGGGCCCGTTCATATGCCACCAATGCATCCTGGGAAACGGCAACCGTACGTGTCTAAAAAATTCTAAATATCTCCAGCTCCAACTAAACCTTCTCCTCAAAACACCAGCTTTCCACTTAGAATCTTAGAACACCTTGATCTTAGGACATCAACCCCCATCCTGGTAGGATCCACGCGACTCCTTAGCCTTGGCAAACTGCAGATGCAGCTTGGGGGTGCTGATCTTCGCCATCAACGGCGCCGCGGCCTCGAAGTTAGTGTCCAAGATGTACAACGAGGCCGCCTGGTCATAGGATCCAGCGGCCTCATAGAGCTGCGCCGCCTCGGCTCGGGATCAAAGAGGAGAAAAATCCGGGGTGAAAAAATTTGGGATCATCCCAACCGGCCAACTGGGATCCCGTGCAATTATGCACAAGCCGCATACTTCGGTGATAAATCTGATAAGTGCATTGTCCGGGTTGAGACATAAGTTGAGACTTCAATCATTTTAACCCGATGACTTTAACCCTGGTGGTTCAGCTGCCTCCACGTATTGCTTCATCTTGGCCAGGACTTGCGCACATTCCCGGCACACCGCCGGATCGTTCAACTCCAGCGCGATCTGCATGCCCCGGGCCAGGTCGCCCATCCGAATGGAGCAGCGTGCGATGCCCGCCCGACAGAGGGCTTCATGCTCTCCACGGGTGCCCGGGACGTGGTCGCGCATGGCCATCTCATAGTGAGACAGCGCCTGTTCATTCTGATTTTTACCTGGCGGTGACCCCAAAGACCAAAAAACTGGGACATGCACTGTTTTTTCTAACCATTATCCAATGTCCTATATAGTTAGTTGAAGGTTGGAAAAGTCAACAACCTTTATCTACCTATCATCTACTGTAATCATATCTAATCATCATCTAAGTATTTTCACTCATACCATAAACCAAAAACAAGGGACATATACTGATACTGATACCTCTTCCCATGTCTTCCCATGTCTTCCCATGTCTTCCCATGTCTTCCCTGCGCCTTCCAATTGCATGGCACTCTTCAAATAGATATCTCCCAAGCGATGCGGCGCCAAGGTCTGGGCCAGCTGAAGTGCCTGGTCCCACTGCAGGAAGTCGCAGTGCATGTCCAGAGCCGTCTCCGGGGAACAGCTCTGAAGGAAGTAGCCTCTGGCCTGGCTGACGCTGATGGCACCACAAAATCCTTGAAAAAAAAACTTGGGAAAAGATGGAGGGAGTTGTTGATCCAGGTCTTTTTAACCTGGCTTAGGGATTCTGAACTCACAGATTTTATGGGAATCCGGCTACATGAGTATCTGAGGAAGTGGCTGGGAATGGCTGGGGTGAAGCCAATTTTAAAAAATAAAACGAGCCTTCTCAGGAAGTGGTTGAGAATGGTTGGTAGAGCCAAATTAGCGCCACTGAGAATTGTTGGAGAAATGTGTAGAAATTGGTTGCAAAAATCATGCCAAATTGGAGGGTTGATCATAGTTTATTGGTGGTTTTACCCATTGACAGTTCTAGCCACCCAGCTGCCGGGCTTTGAGCAGCTGGAGAAGGCGCGGGTCCCCGTGAATCTCCCCCGCGCCTTGGCAAAGTCCCCGAAGAGTGCGCTGACATGTCCACTCAACAGCAGCTTATCCTCCACGGTCTGAATTCGATCTAGGTACATCACCATGCCAGCAGCTGGCGCTTGCCGATAGGCCTTCTTAGCCCAAGAAATGTCCAAGCATTCCAGAGCTCGGCGACCCATGGCCAACCAAAGCTCTCTGGCCTTGAATTTGCGTTAAGATGTCCCCAACAAAACAATACAAAACAATGATTGATATGAATTCATAATATTATTGATTACTTGGGGTGTCCAAAATCACCATCAGCAAATCCCATAAATTTCCCCATCCAAGTGGCATTCAAGGCCAAGCCAATTTTGAAGGCCAAGGGAAAGCGGTTCAAGGCTAAGGCCTGTAACATGCAGCCCTTCTGTCGCTCCACCGCATCCGCCACATGGGCGTTGCTGCTCATGTCGTGTGATTTCAGTCTCTGCTGGTACAAGCCGCCGCTGGCCTGTTGACACGTCACGGTGCCATCCACCACCAGAACAGCGATCTGACCTTGGGATTGTGGCAGATGAAAAAATGGAGGGCCAAGAGATCTGGGTGTTTACACGCACGTATATGATGTATATGTATATGCATATATGTCTATATGTCTATATGCCTATATGTCTATATGTATGTCTATATGTCTATGTATACATATCGTTTGTGTGCGTGCATTACAAAATATAAAACAATGACATGATACCTCGGTGTGTGTGTGTGTGTGTTGCCATTTGGTATGCATTTTGAAAAAATATGGAGAAAAAAAAACAATGACAATATAAAACATATTAGTATTAGTATACGTATACATATACATAGACATATACATATACATATACATATATGTATAATTATAATATATATATATACATATATACACATATACATGTATATATATATATATCCATGTATCGTTATATACTGCAAACACGTTTGTAATGTTTGTATGTCTAGGGTTCACATCTGGTGGAAATTCGTGGCCATCGACACAAACTGATCTCCCAGGCACCGTGTTGCAAGGGACTAGGAGATGGCTCGATCCGCAGCTCCCACTGCAAGCCCAGCTCCACATCACCCAGGCAACGGACGCCACTTCCACCCACCTCCACTTGGCTGTACACGAAGGTGTGGAGGTTGAACTGGTCGCAGGCCACGAAAATGGTGGAGTCACTACTATCCCATAAGATGCGGTCCGCGGTGACCGGGAAATCGGCAATTTGGATGCAGTCATCGTTGATGGGATTGTAGAGCCATGCAGTGCCAGAGGTATCAATGAGAGCCACACGCGTTCCCTCATGATTCGGGAAGCACTTTCGGATGCCATTGGCGTGTTTGTACTCATTCACTTCCTGACCATCAATCAGGGAGTAGTACTGCAATCGACCATTGGAGTGGGCATAGATCAGGAAGTTGCCCACAATGGAAGCGCAGGTGATGCTCTTGTCATCTTCCTTGCGCGGAAAAATGGTCGTCTTGCCATCCCCCCGTTCGATTTGGTGCAGGTACACGCGGCCATCAATCAGCACCTGGGACTTGCGAAAGCGGCAATGGAAAAGTATGAGAAATAGATGATATTAGGTGGTAAGCCCAACAATAAGAACCCCCAAGTTTGTTAGGAAGAGGTTGCCTAGATCACACCGAATCATACTCACTTCACTTTTCCGACTTACCCCCCCTCATCCCCATTTCTCTCACATCAAATTCTATATTCCCCATCTCATCATATCCCAAAAATCTCCGGCACGCAGGCGTGTGCGCCGTTCAAGCTCACGCTTTCCACGCTCCCAATGTACTCCTGTTCGTTGACGCACTGGGCCGAGACCTGGTCGGCGCAGGAGTAGAACCAGATCCGGTTGTTCATCCCAGTGGCCAGATGCGAGGGACCCAGGGCCACAAAAGCGGGCTCCAAATCGGTGCTGATGGTGACCTGGGGGATGGATGGGATGGCGCTTTCCGAAAATCTTAGAAATTCGGTAAATGATAGCTGGGTAATATTTATATCATAGATAAACTGATTGATTGATTGATTGATTGATAGATAGGTAGAAATAGAGATAGAAATAGAGATAGATATAGACAGATATAGACAGATATAGACAGATATAGACAGATATAGACAGATATAGACGGATATAGACAGATATAGACAGATGTAGACAGATATAGACAGATATAGACGGATATAGACAGATAATGACAGATATAGACAGATATAGACAGATAGACTCAGATATAGACAGATATAGACGGATATAGACAGATATAGACAGATATAGACAGATAGACTCAGATATAGACAGATATAGACAGATATAGACAGATATAGACAGATGTAGACAGATATAGACAGATATAGACAGATAGACCATAGAGAAAGACATAGAGAAAGACATGGAGATAGATAGACATGGAGATGGAGATAGAAAAGGACATAGAGTCATAGAGAAGGACATAGAGATGGACATAGAGATAGAGATAGATACAACATGATACAACTACCACCTATACTCATTCTAAACCCCGAAATGCACAAATTAAAATGATGGAACAATGATGTAAAAATTATCCACAGGTCAAAGTTCGGGATGTCCACATTATGCATCTAATCTACACCTGGCAAACAAATATGCCCCAATATGCACATGTGAAAAAATATGTGTATTCATATTGGTCGACTCCTGAAGTCGACCAAGGGATCCTCGGGTTTTTCCATGTTTTTCCCCCACCTTGTTTTCACTCTCATTGGTGCCCTCGATGATGGTCATCTCCCTCAAGGAGGTCAGATATGCCAACCTGGTGTTGCAGGTGGCGGACAGCACCTGCAACTTCGCCAGGAAGCAGTAGACCCAACCAGCCTCGGTGGAGAAGGACAGAAGTTCGCCATCTTCGGACCAATGCATCTGCGTCACCTTGGCTTCTGGACGGATCTGGATTTTCTCATTCCGAATCTCTGTCCAGTCCTTCATGCTGATAATCTTGATACCATCATCTCCAGCTGAAGCGATCTTGCCAGCAGCCTTGCTACAGCAAAGGCAGTCCAAGCTATTGCGATGGTACTTGACGCTAGACAGCTCTTCAGACATCTCTCTCATCTGCGAGCTGATGATGACAATGTAGCCCTGAGAGAAGCCAACCACCAAATAGCCATCTCCAAACCAGGCATAGGACTTGATGGTGCCATACTTGGGCTGGAACGCCAGTTCGGTGGGTTTCTGCGGCTCTTTCAAATTACACAGCAACAAAGTCACCTCTCCCAGCACAATACTCACTAACTTCTCCCTAGTGCCATCACCGCCATCCCCTTTGATGTCGGCAAACTGCATCATGCTGGGATCGTTTTTTAATCTCAGCGGTTCTGAGTCGGTTCCTTCCAGTGCATCACCATCCTCATTACTTAGGCACACGGTCTTGTCCTCAGAGCCTGTCGCGAAGAGGTTAGCTGCATGCCAGGCACCAGCAGAAACCCTCTTGGAATGTTTGCCCATGATGGTCTGCTTTTTCATGGTCCTCTTGTTGTAGATGATCAAATTGCCCCGGGCAGTTCCAATCACCAGCTGTGGGCCACTTTTCGACCAACTGAGCCAGGTCGGATCCTTGGAACTCATCTCCAACATGTCCAACTTATTCTCGGCATGTCTCCAGAGCATCACGGTCTCCTCGAGAGATCCCCGGAATCCCTGGTGCAAAAATGCCCGGTCGAAAATCCTGGATATGACTGATATGATGTGAACTTACCAGTTTGAAGTTTAAGTATACATGCTGAAACTATCTGTAATACTGTACGTACCATATCCAAAGAAGAAGAGTACTATTTGGTTTCACTACTTCGGATCTTTGGCTGATTCTCACCCCTCTATTTCCCCATATTTCTGGCCAAATATGAAGCCACCAATCAAGCATTCAACGGTCCAGTCCTCTTTCTGCTGCAAAATGGCTAAGATCTCTCCATCCTTATCCCATTCCAATTGCGTCACTTTGGCCGTGGATTTCAACGTCACCTCTTCCACCTGTACCCCGCGGCGATCAAACAAGAAGAGATTTCGGGAGCCTTCACCAATGGAGGCCACGTAATTGCCACTGGGTTGCCATGCAAAGAGCACCTGGCGGTGCTCAAAAAGCACTGCAAGGCTTGAAAAGTTTTTAGTGATAAACCATGCAGGCCCATGCAAAAATATGACTGTGAGCAAGACTCAAGAACCATAGTGATAGGTTAGTGATAGAATGTGATAGATATAACTTACATCTATGTGATACGAACTAATCATATCCCCATGGCCCATGGATATACATCTGTGTATATATATATGTGTGTGTGACATATATATATAATATATATATATATATATTATATATATATAATATATATTATATATATAATATATATATATACAGTATTATATATATATATAAGCTAGTTATATGTCCCCAGATCATTTCCTGAAACATCTCATCCACAGTTCCCACCTGGCTGTGACCATGGTATTGAGGCCCTAAGGTGAAGAGTTTCTTCATGGCCCAACGCCGGGCTGAAACGGGACCCACTGATCTGGAAACGGCACCGGAAAGCTGGGACAGCTGGAATCCACGGCGCACCCAGGGACGTGGACGAAAGCCGGGGATCAGTGTCATGGCATTTCTTCAGTTGATATACCTGTGTATCATACATGTGTATATATACATATATATATATGTAGCTATATATATATATTATATATATTAAACATGTATATGTATGTGTATATATATATATCTGTGTTTGTACTTCATCCCATGTTATTCCCATGGTTTTTGCTGCCTGAGCTTCCTTAAGCTGGACCAGCCGTGTCTTTGCCTCGAGCTGGAGATCCCTTAGGGGAAATCCATGGGAAAAGCGACAAATCAGCTATAAAAGTCATGGCAAAATGATTCATATGTGGAGAATCATCAGCCAAACTGCTGCAACTTGCATCATGGAGATATGTATGTATGTATGTATGTATGTATGTATGTATGTATGTATGTATGTATGTATGTATGTATGTATGTTTGTTTGTTTGTTTGTATGTTTGTTTGTATGTTTGTATGTTTGTCTGTTTGTATGTATGTTTGTATGTTTGTATGTTTGTATGTATGTTTGTATGTTTGTATGTTTGTATGTGTGTATGTGTGTATGTTTGTATGTTTGTATGTATGTTTATAGGTTTGTAGGTTTGTATGTTTGTATGTATGTATGTATGTTTGTATGTATGTCTGTCTGTCTGTATGTATGTCTGTATGGTATGGTATGGTATGGTATGGTATGGTATGGTATGTATGTATGTGTGTATACATCTATATAACGCCAACCAATGATGGGGAGGGAGAACATCTATGAAAATTTGGTGCATGATGCAATCAGCAGAAATGCTCCTCGAAAGTTCCCATGGTCAAATGTTCGAGTTTGAAAGCCTAAGCTGGAATTCTGAAGAGTGATTTTCACTAGACTAGATCTTCCATAATTCCCTAGCCCATGTCTAAGACCATGCTGGATTTTGCAAATAAGCTTAAGATGTTTAAGATCAAAGGCATACTGATTCATTTTCACTTGGCATGTCATTGCCTGTTCGACCGCCTTCTCGCAGTCCTGGGAGAGATGATCGGTTGGCACCATGGCTGTTGCTGAATTCACCACTCCACTCCATAAAACCCCAAGTACAAGCCCAAGGAGTGCAGCCATCAGCATCCCTTCACCATCCCAGGTCCTCCTTCAGCTTGCTTTGGTGGGGCCCACAGGCTGCCAGCTCTTTTTCCATCACCGCTTTCAACTCTTCTTCCAGCTGCTCCAGATTCTCCGCAGTCGCCCTGCAGCACTGGGCAACATGAGCAACATGTGACGGCTCTCGGATTGTTTTCTTGGGATGATGGCCATCAGCCACCAGATAGATGCATGTGTATGAATGTATGCATGTATGCATGTACGCATGTATGTCTGTATGCCTGTATACCTGTATGTCTGTAAAACTGTATGTTGAATGTATGTCTGTATGGCATGGTATGGTATGGTATGGTACGGTATGGTGTGGTATGTATATATATATACATATTCATTGGGGAAAACTATGAATCTGGATATTGGATCAAAATTGGAAGCAGATGGGCCTCTTGAGCTTCCCAAGTACTTGGCGAATCTGCCCCATCGCTCGGTCAACCTTCGAACCAGTTGGTGAAGACGTTGTCAACAATCAAGACTACGACTACGACTAAAGTTACGTCAAGGTCTAACATGATCAGAATCTATCTGAATGTATCCAACATTATCCAACATTCAGGTGTCAACTGATGAAAAATGTATAAAAATGTCACATTCAGGTCTTGAAAGATCAGGATGCATCTAACTCTCAAGTGAGATCAAACAGGCCTCTTTGTGCTGCTTGGCTTCCGCCTGGGGAGTTTGGCAAATCATCTCATCCAGCTGGATCAAACACTTCCATTTCTTGGACATTCTGCAAGGTGCGTCTTGGGCCCTTAAAAATCCACAGAGAAATGCATGTGCATGTTACATATATCTGATACACAGTGTCCACATATATATATATTATAAGATCTAAAATATAATCCATATTTGTAGTATGTGTGTGTGCGGGTGTACATATGTATCTATCTCATCTCGTCTCGGATGAAATCATATCAGAATTGAAAATGCACCAAACTGCCCAGACAACTCGACACCTCAGCTTTCAATCGCTTCTCGTTGGCAGATGCCTTCCTGCAAGCATAGCTGATCGCTTGACGCTTCCAAACTGCACTGATTGGTTGAAACCACCCCCACCAAGTAGAAATTTGTTGGGTTCACTTACTAAGTGGGATGAAAAATGAACGATGATGCCCACTTCCGAAGTTTCTTCGCACAATTCGTGACCTCAATTTGCGAGCAATTCGATTTGGAACGATCAGAATTTGTGACCTAAAAGATGTTGGGCCCAAGCCGTCCCCATCTTCCCCTGAATCCGTCAGATGTCGCTGTCCTGTCAACCGCAATGTGAAATCCCGGATCCACTGGGCCGTCATAGGGCACTTTCCATCCAGACAAGGGCGCTGTGGCCAACCGGCCTCAGAGGTTAACAAGGTATTGCCCTGACATGCCATTCACCAGTAGCTTTTGTTGGCTTGGTTCAAGGGAAAAACTGATGGTATGACACCTAAGTGATGAGAAAAAAAATGAAAAAATACGGCTTTCCTGCAGATTTGATATAACATCATTATTTTATTTATTCAGCAGTGAATTTTTCATGGTTCCCCATAGTTTTCCCAAAAGTCATCCCAAATGAAGCTTAGGAAATGAGGCACTGGCTGGAGTTGAAAGCCCAAACCTGCTCAGCGCCGACTTCAGGCCCAAACCTCGCGGCCGGGGTTTTCAACGGAAAATTGCTTTGGATTCAGCTTCTCTTAAAATTGGCTTCAATCAATTGATTGAATGAATATAGAAATACCAGGTAAATATAAGGTAAATTAGGGCTATTTGAGATGCTCCCTTGTTGTGCCTGGCCACAAAAAGATAATAAACAAGGTCCACACCACCATCCGCAGAAGGTGGGATTCGCAGTATCGTTCCAGAAGTAGATGAGGACGTCCACACCATCTTTGGTCTGCAAGGGCGCGTGCAAGGGCGCCATGCAATGGCGAAATGTCCAGCAAAAAACTGCCATGGAAACCGAGGAAAATTGCACAAAATTGTGACACAAACCTGTGGGGATGTAATATAATCAACTATAACTGGGGGATCTAAATCAACATAAATCATCATAAATCAACACAAAACGATCGAAGCGGCCGAAAAGTTTCGCCGCGGACCTGCTCAGTCTTCTTGTACGTCGGTTTGCCGTGATTCTCGCCATTTCGGATGAAGGACCCGTTGACAATGCTGCCCACAACAGGATGCCCACAGCCCTGCACCTGGCCGAGACGGGTTCTTGCCATCTTTGTTGTCAAGAATTTTGAGCCCCATTTCATTTCACACAACTGAATCTTTCAGATCATTGGGTACCACTTTTGCTTCACCTTATCCTCTGGTACACTAACATAACCGTGGGAAATGACAATCTTTGTAAATCAATCTATAAATGGCCCATGTTCAATGGCGGCTATGTTTCTTTGCTGGACATCTTCATCCCCAACGCCGTTGCGGCGTCACCGTGATGTGCGTGTCCGAGCCCACTTCCACAGCTTGTGGAGGCGCTGCCATGGGCGACCTCAGTGGTGACATATGGTGACATCCTGCAGTCGTCAGCCGAATCTGACAATGACGGTCAATACCAATAATATTGAATAAGATTGAATGTAACTATCGTGATGATCATCTGATCGATGCTGATTCATGATGATCACTTATTAGATATATGGTGCATGTCCATATATATATATATTGTGTTTGTGTGGGTCATAGTCGTCAGTAACAATTATTGACCATCATGAAGCATCATGCATAATCATCGGCAATCAGCATCAGTACTCATCAACCACCATCAACTTGGACCTTCCAAAATATTGGGGTTCCCCCTATGGAAACCTCCATATGTATCCAGCAGTTTAACAAGTTCCATGTCACACAAAACGCTTGATGTTGCCCCACTACCGCTGCTGCCTGACCAAGATGATCCCACTGGTGATGTCCCCATTGCTTCAGGCTGATCCAAGGTTCACACACCGGGCTGCTCACATTCACATTCAAGCTAGGGTCCACCTCGCAGCTGAGCTTTGCCAATAAACATGCCTATGAAAAATTGCCCATTTGTAGATGATTGGTTTGCCATTCCAACTTCCAAATATTCCCATGGTGAACCGTCAGTAGCTATGTTCAAAAATCGCGGTGTAGCTATGTCGCTCGGCGCCTGGCCTGCCCCTCAAAAGGAACCTTCCATCCAGTCCTGCAATGGGCCAACGCCAATGATCAACGCTCATTTTAAGCCCAGTTTAGGCGTACTTTGGATGACTCACTTCTGGAATTTTGCCTTCAGTAGATGTTCGCCCAAAAAACTGTCAAAATATGGCAAGTGCCAAAAGAAAACAATGGTTCATCAACGTTCCATCCATCAAAGTTCCAAGCTTTGGGCGGCCGCATGTTCTTTTTACAGCACCAGAAATCTCTCCAGCACTGCCGTGATTTCCTCCGTTTCATTGGCACAGCCACAGTTGTAGCTGGTGCATCCCGCGATAGTGACACCTGGGGCCGTATCCAGCTGGGTTAGGGCTTTGGCCTGCGATAGGCCGTTGACTTTCTTGCTCCAAAAGGAACGCTTTTCGGAGATGTGATGCTCGTAGCCTCGCGAATGAACGAGGACATGCCCCAGTTGAACCCATTGGTTAGTGCTTTTTTGTTTCACCTGGTTGTGAACCGGTGCGTTCGATGTAGAGTGACATAATTGTGAGGGGTGAGTTGATTGAATACATCGTTTTGGTCGTGGCCCAGCTTGATGTGGCGAGACCGGGACCCTGTCTGTCAATCTATCCGTCTAGCTGTGCGTGTCTGAGTGTTGAGGCTTCTGGGGTAACTTTTGATGAGAACTTTTCGTCGAGCCAAAAAAAAACACGTGGCAATGGGAAACCCATCCACAAATTCAATTGGAAATTCATGTGCCAGCATTGGATAGTTATTGGATAGTTATTTAGTTAAAAACTATCAACTATCCATTTTGTAACTATCCGATTTTGTTCTACTCACAAATAACTATCCATTTAGTAGTTCATCCACATACCAGTTTTTAACTGGATAGTTTCATGTCTTGAGTATGTGAATCCATTTTGTTCTACTCATGAAACTCATAGCCGCATTGCTGTTCCCAATGATTTCCGGGCCAACTTGTTGGCTGGCTTGGCTTGCTATATCTGAAGCCATATAACACCATATGAACCTGTTGAAAACCCCCAAAAAGATGGAAAAGTGTTTCCAGGAGGTTCTAGATGATATGTTGATATTTTTTTCCCCCCAGGCTTCCCACTTTTGAACCATTGTTTTGGGGTTGTTATATACCATGCTGCTATACCATGAAACCTCTATGTTTCATGGGGTTTTCCCTCCGTGTAACGCATGCAACCACCGTTCGAATTGCATCAGTCAAGTAGCATGCCGAGGAGTACAGGGACGAGCCCGGCAGCTGCAGAGTCTTCAGCCGCGTCAGCTCTAGGCGCGTCTTCGCAGCGAACTCCTGCGCTGGAGACGGAGATGCCACCGTATAGCCAGGTGTAAAATGCTTAGAACCAACAAAAGAACACGGATTATGGGTACAAAAACCAACCAATACTGGCAAATATTGAAGAAATATATATAATATATATATATATGTAAATCTTGGGAACATGAAGATATGGTCAGATAAGATAATCAATTGACTTTGCTTTTCAAAGGGTCTGTCTGAACATGAGGAGTACCTCAAAGCTGCAATTCTAGTGAGAAACAAATGATTAACCATCAAATTGCGGGTTGCAAAACTTTCAGACAAACCGACCCAAGTATAAATCTGTTTGTCTGATATTTTTGGGGACACCCTAATCTACTGTTAATCATCATGTTCATTCGCTTTCCCCTAGTAAAATGGCTGCAGAACTAATTACAAATGCCCAAAACTTGCAAAAAGTAGTTGATTGGGCGCCCATGTCAAAGTTGGAGTGCTCCCCGTGGCAAGACTCATCAAGACATATCAAGACTCTTTCACCATCTCCCAGCCATTCTCCCAGCTCTCCCAACCTCTGCATAGCGCTGCTCTGCTGCAGTGTAGGGTTTAGGCTTTTCTTCGAGGCCATCGTAGCCATGGACCAAATGGGAGAGTTGCCACGAGTCGTACTGCGCCGCCACCATCAGATGTGGCGTCCTGGGCCGGGCGATCATACAGGTTGGAAGAAAAGCCTCATTGGCATATCCATATAGATAAATAGATGTGCATGTGTATGTGTATAATTATATGTATATGTTTTATTCATGTTTAAATAGATGTGCATGTGTATGTGTATAATTATATGTATATGTTTTATTCATGTTTATATTTATATTTGTATATGCATTTTATTTGCGTTCATTATCTATTTAGATATATTTAGATACTTGTTTGTCCATTTACAGTATTCATATTATTCAATATTATTCATATCAAATATGATGAAATACCATCGGGAAATCAAACATGGCTGGTTGGGAAATTCCCGAAGTAAATGAAGGTTTCTGGCTGGGGAAATCATCGAACCAAAGTGGATTTTCCAGCCACCCTTTGGCAACCAGGTCCTGAGAAGTGGCATCCGATGCTGTCCAAAGAGGCACTTCCACTGCTCTTCTGAAAACCTGCACATCTGAAAACCAAAGCTCTAGAGGGTTCTATGGAAAGTGTCACAATGCTCTGACATCTGAGTGTAGCTATCCTGTCTGTAATCTGTCTATAATCTGTCGATAATTTGTCTATAATCTGTCTATAGGCTCATGAATGTCATTCTATGCCCAACTAATACATGCATGTCAATGCATTGGCGTTTCCATCTGCACTGTGCCTTCTTCGACATCTGTCTGAGACCACCGAGGAGGCATTGAAATTCATCAACACCTGGCAACCAATTCCAGACGTTCCAATTGGGAAACTTCACCACAACTGACTGCGTCCATCAAAATTGAGGTTTTACCCAGGAACGCGTGTTTTAATGTTTTTCCTAATCAAAGCTGTGGAGATCACAAGAACCGGCGGGTTGAGCAGCCCACCCCTGACGGAAGAATACAATGTGCGCTGCTTGAGATGAAAACACGGCAAACAGTTGCAGGCAGTGTTTGAAAAAATATATATCAAACACGACATAATAAAACACAACATAACAAAATATCGTTGGCCACTTAACCTCCTCAGTCCTGCTAAGCCCGCTCAAAATGTGTGTCCAAATTAAAATTGTGCATATGCATGCATGCATGGATGTATGTGCGCATGTGTGTGTGTGTATGTATGTATCTGTATGTATCTGTATGTATCTGTATGTATCTGTATGTATGTGTATGTAGGTGTGTATGTATGTGTATGTACGTTTATGTACTTGTATGTATGTGTATGTACGTTTATGTACGTGTATGTACGTGTATGTACGTGTATGTACGTGTATGTACGTGTATGTATCTGTATGTATGTGTATGTATCTGCATGTATGTGTATGTATGCGTGTATGTACGTGTATGTCTGTCTATGTATCTGTATGTATGTGTATGTATCTGTATGTATGTGTATGTATGTGTGTATGTACGTGTATGTACGTGTATGTATCTGTATGTATGTGTATGTATCTGCATGTATGTGTATGTATGTGTGTATGTACGTGTATGTCTGTCTATGTATCTGTATGTATGTGTATGTATCTGTATGTATGTGTATGTATGTGTGTATGTACGTGTATGTACGTGTGTGTACGTCTATGTATGTGTATGTACGTCTATGTATGTGTTGTATGTGTGTATGTGTGTATGTCTGTATGTATGTATGTATGTATGTATGTATGTATGTATGTATGTATGCATCTATCTATCTATCTATGTATGTATGTATGGATGGATGGATGTATGGATGTATGGATGTATCGATGTATCGATGGATGGATGGATGGATGGATGGATGGATGGATGGATGGATGTTGCATGCATGCATGCATGTATGTGCGTGTGTATGTATATGTATGTATAAGTATGTACTTATGTGTATGTATTTGTGCATGTGTGCGCGTGGCATGTGTATAATTATACATACAAGCAAATAGATAGTCATACATATATATATATATAGTTTAGGGCCTGTTACAGGCGTTCTTTTTTGCAGTGTTTTCACACACGTCTACGCAGCCTTTGTTTCGGGGGTTAGGAGTAGGTTTTGACTCATCCCTGTACATTGGTATATCGGTCGAAATGATTCAACCTTGTCAACCCAGAATGTGATTGTTTAATTATAGCTAATAGCAACCCCCCAAAAGATAGAACCGTAATTAATCACTATTTTAGTGGGATTTTACATGATTTTACATGATTTTACTGTTCTTTATTTTTTTTGGGTTGCTATATGTTGCTATAATTTAATAAAGATGACCCGCGTAGTCTTGTGTCCATTGATATCCCCCTTCCCAGACTTGAAGGCCCGATATTTTGGGGGGCAAAAGCAGTTTCAACAATGGCTCTATCACATTATCTGCCTAACAATTGGTGAAATTGGCAGTGTCCAAAACCATGATCCATATATTTCATATCATATGTATGTATAAAAACTAAATAGTACTAGTACTATAATGTTTGACATATTATATTTGATAAATCAAATATGATATATAATGTATGTTTTAACTTATTATATATTTTAAATTATATTTTATCTATTCTATATTGTAATTTGTATACAACATATTTTATATTATTTATATATCATATATCATAAAGCAAAAATACTATATATTATATCTTATAATATCTTATATATTACGTAATATATGTATATTACGTAATATATATATATATATATTATATTAGATACTATGTATTATATATCACACTTTATATTTAAAATATTATATATTATATATTATATTATAGATTAACAAATGTATATATATATATTGTGTACTATATTGCGCTGGCCTGGCCAACAAGAGTGTCCAATCAGAATATGGTCATGTGTTCTTGTAATGCACCGTTTCCCCAGGGATTGCATCCTGGGGGGGGGGGCTGGGGACTCCTGGTGGAAATTGCAAATCAGCCACATACCCCCACCAGCCCCAAGACCCCCCCCCCTCCCCCCCCCCTCCCCCCCCCCCCCCCAAAGGCCACAAGAGCCCCCTACATTCTCCACACAAACAAAACCTTCACTGGAGAAAAGTCTCTTTCCTTTCCTCTGCTAGCACCTTGCTTCTGCACTGTGGGGCTTCTTTCTTTCCCTCTCTCTTCCCCTCTCTCTCTGGATCTCTCTCTTCACCGCCTCCGCTCCGCCTACCAATTGCTCCGCAACCAAGCTCCGCGACCAAGCTCCGCGACCAAGCTCCGCGACCATGTGCAGAGACGCCAGGCAGCCCCTGCGGTGTTTCAGATGTCTCCACCCACAATGCTTCGAAGTGCAACACACAGAAACACTGTCTGACTCACACGACTTTTGAGTGCAAATCACCACGTGTATAAAACCTCGTAAAAAATAACGCCGGAAACGGGCCCGAAGCCATATATGGTTCCATATATATATATATATCATTGCAAATAGAACTCTATAAATAGATCATATATATAATATATACATATGTATGTTTATAGTATATATATATACTATGTTTGAGTGAACCAGCATCTTTCCGCCTGCGAGTGTTGCGGCTGAAAGCCGGCAAACTTGGGGCTGAAGCTGGGCACATCCAGGTAGTAGGGAGAGTCCAAAAAGCCCCGCACCAGGAGCCGCGGGAAACGATCGCTGACTTCGTCCAGCAGCACCATGGAACCGCGACCCCCTGCAGAACCGCCACCAAAGATCAGCCTGACCAGAAATGCCGGGATTTACCAGGGATTTTGGATGGAGTTGGCATCAAGTTATGGCCATTTCATGGGAAAAATAGGAAATTACATGGTGTGGGATGATTTGTGGGTAATTTTAATAAGCCTCTTGTGCCACAAACCCAAGCGGGCAGAGACATTTGGAGAAATCGGGGGCCGACCATGATCTTGGCATATCTTGGCCATCAAGCACATGCGGTTCCTAAGGGCTTGACATTTAGAATCGACTTTTTGTAAGCAAAACCTCATCAGCTTCGTCGGAGGTCGCCCTTCTCTGTTGACACTACCTCAAGTCAAAGGTGCACATCCCAGTCTCCATTGCACCCATATGGGAGAGCCACAACAGCACACCCTCCCATTTCCCCGTGGCCTGCTTGCCCCTTGCAGTCGGCCCGCAAGCTTTGTAAACACAGCGCGAACCACACGCGCACCACGGAATTGCCACGGGCCGAACACGCCGTCTCCTGGGGAGACAACCCTTGACAATGTGGCTCGCTAAGCCGCTAAGATACGACCTTGCTACTTGTAAGCTATGATTATATTTGCGGCATGAACTATATTTGCGGCATGATCAGCATGCCACTATATTAGTAGTGCCTCTTCCTGCCTGCATTTGCACATATGATCTGGATGCTCGCACGTGCTATACTCATGGTTTTTTTCAGGCAAGTAAATGCACAGGAACATGGACTTTTTGTATCCTTCTATTGAATCTGGTATCGAAGTACCGTAAATTCCTGCACAAAAACAAATGGCCACCGCCACCCGCCAACAGCTGGGGTTCAAAGCACAGCTGTATCATCAAATCCCCAGTTTTCAGCAGGTTCCAGGGTTGCAGCGGTCCAGTTCCGCTCCGATTTTGGGGTCCAGAAAACACAAAATCCGCCCAACTCCCAGACCCAGAGATTGCCCTGAGAATTTCACATCGCAGCTCAGGATCCCATGTAGGCATCAGAGGTGCAGTAGGGCACATAAACCAAATTGGCAGCACGAAAAGGCGACCGGTGCGCATCAAAAATGCCAGTCCTCAAAGGCGCGAAGCAGACCACGACATACCATGACTGCGCGAAGCAGACATGGACCTTCGAGAACGCCACCCCGTGTCTGCTACTGATTTATTGATTCATCTATGTACATCAAGATCTATGTCTATATATCTGTATATCTAGTGTTTATATATATATAGGTAAAAATATTATGCATGTATATATATATATATAATTATATATATATATAATACATCAATAGACAGGTAGAGGTCTAAACAAAATGCACCTCACGAAGCTCCAATTTTTTCTGCTGTCTGGCCGCTGGGCAGCCGCTCCACTTTGGAGCTGGAGCTGAGAGGTTGAGAGCTGGCGCGGAAAGCGCAGATTTGGCCACGTTGGCAACGCATCAATGGGATTTGAGGGGATTAACTACCAGCAATTCATGAGATTCATGTTGGATTTAATATATTTAATCTAATCATATCTACTGTAATCATGATAGCAAAATCACCTGCAGTATCCAAAACTGATGGATTCGGGTTAGCTCCCAACACAAGGAGGTTAAATTGGCTAAGTACAGAGTACAGAACTAAAATCACACAGTCCCCCCCTATGGTAATCATTTACAAGTACCTACAATAGCAAAGCATTTTCCTACAATAGCGAACCTGCCCATTTTGGGAGATCGAAATGACAAATATATCATCATGATATATCGATGCAACCACCAACCTGCAACGATTCTCCTACTATCTTGGCTGGCCAAACACCTCCGGCGCGAGGTCCCTCGACTCATTAGCCTACTACATGCATCCTACCATCCCTACTGGTACATCTCATCAAAAGTTTTCAAAGTAAATAAGCACCATCATCCGAAAATATATGCCATCGAAAAAGTCTTCAACATACCGTTCCTCCAACCAACAATAGACCCTGCCATCTGCTTGGGAAGCAAAACTACTTTCCTCTTGAGGCATTGCAGCATGGTCGTTTCTCAGGGTCTAAGTTGGGGAATTCCGGTGACCAAATGTTACCAATCACATGCGACAGACCATATCAATCAGGCTGCCCATAGCAAAGGTGAAAATGCTTTGCATCACTTCCTCCGGAAAGCTGCCACTTCGGGTCCGAAAAACCTTCAACAGCGTTTGCAGCAGCACCTGGTCACGAATCTAAGGGGACCCACAACCTCAATGAGTTGCCAACCCGAATTGGGGTTTATGGCATTGGCTTTACAACGTGGTAGAATTTTGACCCGTACCCAAATGGATTTAGCATGATTCAAGGCACATTGATTGGCATTGGATATACCAAGCATGCAAAACCATGCCAACGCATGTTAAGTGATATCATACATAATTCACGTTACATTTTACCAAGTCATATAAAGTGGATGATGTTCATATATATATAATCATTATTCAACCATTTTTGGATATACCGACCATACCAAGCCAGGTTAAATTGGAATAAACTGAATGTAGCCATCCCCAAACTGAATGTATGTATGCATGTATGTATGTATGTATGTACGTAGGTACGTAGGTACGTACGTACGTATGTATGTATGTATGTATGTATGTATGTAGGTACGTAGGTACGTAGGTACGTAGGTACGTAGGTACGTATGTATGTATGTATGTATGTATGTACGTAGGTACGTACGTACGTACGTACGTACGTATGTACGTATGTATGTATGTACGTAGGTACGTAGGTATGTAGGTACGTATGTATGTACGTAGGTACGTAGGTACGTAGTTCGTATGTATGTATGTATGTACGTAGGTACGTAGGTATGTATGTACGTATGTATGTATCTATCTATGTATGTATGTAGGTACGTAGGTACGTAGGTACGTAGGTACGTATGTATGTATGTATGTATGTACGTAGGTACGTAGGTACGTATGTATGTATATGTATGTACGTAGGTACGTAGGTACGTAGGTACGTATGTATGTACGTAGGTACGTAGGTACGTATGTATGTATGTATGTACGTAGGTACGTAGGTATGTAGTACGTATGTATGTATGTATGTATGTAGGTACGTAGGTACGTAGGTACGTAGGTACGTATGTATGTATGTATGTACGTAGGTACGTAGGTACGTAGTAGTATGTACGTAGGTACGTAGGTACGTATGTATGTATGTATGTACGTAGGTACGTAGGTACGTAGGTATGTATGTATGTACGTAGGTACGTAGGTATGTATACGTATGTATGTATGTATGTATGTACGTAGGTACGTAGGTACGTAGGTACGTAGGTACATATGTATGTATGTATGTATGTATGTATGTATGTATGGTATGTATGTATGTATGTATGTATGTATGTATGTATGTACGTAGGTACGTAGGTACGTAGGTACGTAGGTACGTAGGTACGTAGGTATATGTATGTATGTATGTATGTATGTATGTACGTAGGTACGTATGTATGTATGTATGTATGTATGTACGTAGGTACGTAGGTACGTAGGTACGTAGGTACGTATGTATGTATGTATGTATGTACGTAGGCACGAAGGTACGTAGGTACTTATGTACGTATGTATGTATGTACGTATGTACGTAGGTACGTAGGTACGTATGTATGTACGTAGGTACGTAGGTACGTAGGTACGTAGGTACGTATGTATATATGTATGTATGTATGTATGTACGTAGGTACGTAGGTACGTAGGTACGTATGTAGGTATGTACGTATGTATGTATGTATGTATGTACGTAGGTACGTATGCATGTATGTATGTATGTACGTAGGTAGGTAGGTAGGTATGTATGTACGTAGGTTCGTATGTATGTATGTACGTAGGTACGTATGTATGTATGTATGTATGTACGTAGGTACGTATGTATGTATGTATGTAGGTACGTATGTATGTATGTATGTATGTAGGTAGGTAGGTATGTATGTATGTATGTATGTATGAGTATGTATGAGTATGTATGAGTTTGTATGAGTATGTATGAGTATGTATGAGTATGTATGAGTGTGTATGAGTGTGTCTGCGCTGTCTGCCGTCTCGTCTGCGTCCTGTCTGCGTCACCTCTCTCGCGTCTCTTCTGCGTTGTCTCGTCCCGCTGTCTGCGTCTGTCCGGCGTCTGTCTCCGTCTGTCTGCGCCTTCCGTCCTGCGTCTGTCTTCGAATCGTCTGCGTCGGTCTTCGTCTTCTTCCTGTCTGGTCTGCTTCTAGTCTTCGTCTGTCTGTTTCATTGGTCATTTCTCTGTCCTGCGGTCTTTCCTCTTCTTCTTTAGTCTGTCTTGTCGTCTTTCCTGCCGTTCTTTGTCTTATTTCTTCTTATTTATGAGTATGTACATGAGTATGTAGAGTATGCATGAATTATGTATGAGTATGTATGATTATGTATGATTATGTATGATTATGTTGATTTGTATGTATGTATGTATGTATGTATGATATGTATGAGTATGTATGAGTATGTATGAGTATGTATGAGTATGTATGAGTATGTATGAGTATGTATGAGTATGTATGTATGAGTATGTGATATGTATGATATGTATGATGTATGTATGAGTATGTATGAGTATGTATGAGTATGTATGAGTATGTATGAGTATGTATGAGTATGTATGAGTATGTATGAGTATGTATGAGTATGTATGAGTATGTATGAGTATGTATGAGTATGTATGAGTATGTATGAGTATGTATGAGTATGTATGAGTATGTATGAGTATGTATGATGTATGAGTATGTATGAGTATGTATGAGTATGTATGAGTATGTATGAGTATGTATGTATTAGTATGTATGAGAGTATGTATGAGTATGTATGAGTATGTATGAGTATGTATGATTATGTATGATGATATACATACGAACGGATCTAAATGGGTAATTTTCCGGCTAGCCATCTTTTACTGCAAGGGTATGAACTTTGACCCATCCCCGACCTCACAAGGCTGCGCCGAGATGTTGATCTTCCACATGCCCCCAGCGTGCAGCTGCGCGGCACCGCTTTGTGGCTGCTGCGGAACGTCACCCGCCTTGCTACAACGGCTGCCGCCGAAGACGAAAAGGGTGTGATCACCTGGGGCTGGAGGTGGTCAAGGCCGGATTTCCCAGCGATGGTGTTCACCCCCGGATATGTTGGATGGTATTGGATAGAAACAAGCACCCTATAGTCATCAACGGGGCTTTTGAACATTTGCTCTCATGTGCTTTCATATCTTTCATCTTTCCACCACGACAATCCGACTGCAACACTTCTTCCGCACAAAGACGTTTTCTGAAACCTGGCCCCTCCCAAAAAAAACCTCCCTGCCTTCACCACCCAGCACGGCACCAAAGTTGCCCGCCCAGGAGGGTGCGAGGTTCGTGCGCACGCGGCGCCAGCGGGGTTTCTGCAGGTTCAGGGCAAACAGACCTAGGGGGTGAGATGGGCATTTCTGAGTAGGTTCAGGGCTTCTCTCTCCCTCCCTTACCTGACGGCCATGCAGGCACAGAGAGAGAGAGAGGGACATGCCCGATTTAAGACAGGTCTAGATAGGGTAGTAATGGTTTGAGGATGTTTGAGGAACATATGGGCTCGAGAAAAAAAACATTCAATTGCGTTAGTTATGGTTAGTTAGTGAATGATGCCGCACCTGTCGACTCAACCAAAAGACCCAAAGAAAGAGTGTTTTGCTTAGCGTGTCCTGGGAACACCTAAAGCTCTGGCTGAAAGATTACTAAAATTCCTCCGGAAAACCCAGTTTCCCAGGCTGCGACTCTTCGGGCTTCTGCCTCTGGGCCACCATGATCCCCCCACAGCTGGACACCGCCATGAAAGGCCGATGGGGCACCACCTCCCAGAAGCGTGCACGCGGGCGCACGCCCACCCATAGAGGATGGCCTTCAATTTTCACCTCACTCCATCTGGGTGGATCGGCATCCAAGTCCAAGGTCCACAAATCCCGAAAGCTCCGAATGCCATTGGTGCCACCATGGATGATCATCACCCGGTTGGAGATCACAGCAGCATGCTGTGCCCGCGCCTCGGGAGTGGGCCCCCGGCGGGGCAGCAGTGCCCAGTGGGGGTCGATGAGGTCATGCTCGAAGACGGCATCGAAGTAATGATAGGGACCTCCCACACAGCATTGGCCCCCAAAGAGGTAGACATGGTCGGTGACATCGCAGTAGGCCAGGGAATGATAGGCTCCCGGCAGCGGCACATGCTTCAGCCCACTGGCTGGAACAAAGAAGCGGCCCTTCAGGGGGCAGAAATGCCACGAATCCAGGTGATTCATATCGCGGTCAAAGCCACCACACATCCTTGGATCGGTCTAATGGCATCATATATTCCCAGTACGAGTAGATTCCCCCAAATGGTGCATCAACACCATCAAGCAACGGAGAAAAATAATGAAAACATATGAAAATTATGAAAACTACATTATAATACATTATACTTGAAAAATCAGAAAATCCAAGCATCAGCATAACTTTCCGGTGTTTGTGTTGAGGCCGCACTGGAAACTTGGCAGGCAACATGCAGCTGGAATGGCCCCAGCGCCAGCTTGGTGCATAAGATGCTGCTGGCGGTGTGTGATCTTCCCAACGTCTGTAGCGTAAGTCCATCATCAGCAGTGAGATCTTCGCTGGGGGCGATTTTCCTTCAACTTCTCGATCTCCTCCAATACACCAAATGCGATGCCCTGATGCCACTAAACAGTGCCCTGTAATCTTCTCCACCTTGAGTTCCTGATGTTCCTGGGCATCCAGGCTGCTCCAATCTGCGGTTCTGAAATGGACATAGCTCTCAGAGTCCGCCACACTTGGCTGGGCCTTGGCTTTCCCTTTGGCCTTGGCCCTGGGCAGTTTCGCCTTCAAGAGTGGTTTCTCCTTCCATCTGGCCATGGCTCATGTCAAAACCCAACCCTGGCGGCTCCGCATTTTTGAGCCGCCTCAGCAAGTCTCATACGCGCAATCTCCGGGAAAAAAAATGCATGGCAAGTGACAAATCCACCATTTATAGATAGTTTGACCTCCATTTATACGGGATTTTCCCGCCAGGCACGTTTGATTACCAGAGGGCAATGCTGCAAATCTTGATGACACAATGATAACACATGTCTTGACTCCACCAGCATCACCAGCCTGCACTACTTTTGCCAAGGTTCTTTCCACAGATTTCTGGATAGTCCTTCCACAACGCGTTGATCATGTTGATCCCAAAGGAAAAAAAACGGCCAGTGTGGTGCAAAAACCATCCCTCGCTAAGGTGGCTAAACAACTGTTAAACAAGTGTTAAGCAACTCTCCAAAAACTGAAACACCATCTGTTTTCTCCCTGGTTCTACAGTTCTCCCATTGCAATCTCCATGTGAAATTCATGGTTTCCACACATGATGGGGTCCCAATGACTTGACCACTGCCCATGTCATTTGCTTGGCCGGGACCCCCAAAAAAAAAAAACACATTTGTTGCTGGTAAGGCAAACAACGATACTCACCCATGGTAACCACATAAATAAAAAAAAAAACACGCGCTTTTGTTCCTTGAAAATCCCATGGTAATTTCACATAACCATTATACAATCACCATCGTTCATCAGAGCATCATCTATCATCAATGGGCCATCTATGCCATAGCTATGCAACAAATTGCCCGAGGTAAATAGGATGCTAATTCCTTTTCATCAGTATTCATCACCATTCATCACCATTCATCACCATTCATCACCATTCATCACCATTCATCACCATTCATCACCATTCATCACCATTCATCACCATTCATCTCTACAGTATGGATCACCACTAAAATCGCCCCATGAGACGCCCCAACCTTGCTGGACATCCAGCATGGCACGCTCTCGTTGGAGCTGTCGCAGGGCTGTCGTGGGAAGAGGCTTCCATCGAAGCGACCCTGGCAGCTCTCCAGGTCGTAGCACCAGCCGCCACCAGCCAGATACACCACCCACTCGGAGCTCGAGATGTTCTCCTCGTGAGGCATGGTGTTGAAAGATGGCTACAAACTCGGGCAAAAATGGCCATTAAAATGGGGAATGTGGAGAGAATGGAATATGTAAACAACATTAAGCAACTTAATGTGATTGGGCGTGGTTCCTAGGTCCTAAGAGGTAGAAGTCGGCATATAAACCCATCGAACATCATCATACATCATCTAAGTACAATTGCTCGAGTTACTGTAACCTACTTGGGGGACCACGTCATGCGTGGATTGGTTTTAGGGAAGATTGTGCGGTTGAACCATGGATGTTAGCATCAAAGATAGCGGTGAAACCTTTAAATCGTCATCCAATTTTTGTCAGTGACCAGGATGTTCACTGCAATTTATGGCTATTGAACCACCAGAAAATGATTTACGTTGTCAACCTACTGGATTTGGGGATCCAATTTCTTTTGAGCGACAAAGCCCTGAAGGGCCTGGAGAAAACTTTCTGAAAGGAGAGAAACTTCAGCATGGCCCCCTATTCTGGGACATTCTTGCATATCAGTGGGTTTATCTGTAAAATAGGGCGCTGCCAAATTTCATGGTTTATCCGCATATTATCCGCATATTTCCTACAAAGATGCTATTTGAGGGTATTCCCCATGTTCAGACACACCCACATCCTGCATTGCCACAGATTTCCCGCCTGCATGTAGAACATCGCCGGGCTGCCATCGTTGCAAAGAGCTAAGGGGTCAACCTTTTCAGGCAGGGTTCAACCCTAGAACCACCAGAAAATGTGGATATGGGCCATGGGTTTGACGGTTTGTCTGAGAGGGTAACCGCCAAATTCAGTGGTTTAGCATGTTCCCTACTTCATCGCCATTGTGGGGTATCCGATTGGGATATGCCCCAAAGAATTTGGATAAAACCAACAAAATGTCACAATCGGGGATATAATAAACAGCTATTGGGTGCATGTTCAACTTGAAGAAAGCACGCGCAGCTTGTTTTCATGTTTGGCACTAAATCATCCAATTTTGGCATGTTGCGCCCTATTTGCCCCATACCCACACGAGTAGAATTTTTATAGAACAAGAAATATCGTTCTTGCAAACAAAAGAAGGATCACAAAAAAAATGTGGCACCCAGAGGGTGGTTTGCCACATTCTGTGTGGAGCTACATTGATATTTCCATATTTCCAAAATAAGAGGTGCCAATTCACAGAACTGGATTTCTGATTGGGCCCCCTGGACCATCCTGTCTTGGGGCTTTCTGAAGGGACCGTTTTGTCAAGGCGCATCTGTCAAGTTTTCGCGCTGCAACATGGCGGTGGCACCCGCATCATTGCAACTCCACCCGTGGGCTGCAGCGACCAGAAAGAAGCACCACCTGGTTTTGGTGAGTTGCCCAGTCTCAATGGGCCCATCCCCGTGGTTGATGATTTTTCCGATTCAAACATTAGAATCCAACATTGGCTTTTCTTCCTTCCACCGCTTCCACCTTTTCAATATTTCAACCTCCGTTGATTGGTTTATTTGGGCCAGTACCTCCTGAATCGCTCAGCGGCACGGGTTGGCCACGCTCCGGTGCACTTCCAGGCGGTAGAGCAACAGAAGGACCTACTGGGGCCCCATGGCAAGTGGGGATCATCCCAATATTGTCTCTATAGGTCCCAACAAATATTGTCTCCTCTCCTGGATGATGGATGGTATAGATTATGCTATAGATAAAAGATGATAAAAGATAAGCTTCTCATGCCAGGGGCCTCCTTGTTCGATCTTGTTCAGGGGATGGGATGGATAATGTATAAACATGTATAAACTGCTTTTCATCGCTCCTACTTATCTTCACTCGTCTTGAAACCCAGTAAGCGATCGGAAATTCCCGAAGGCTTCGGGAAGTTTCAAGGTACCGAGGTGCACCTAAGATGCACCCCTTGAAGTCCCTTATTTTTTTTCAAAATGACGCTAAAATTGCAGAGTCGAATTGGAAACAATGGCATCTCCAATGGCATCTCCCAACCCACGTGGCACTTTTCACACCCTCCTGGACCCTGGGCCAATCTGGGCCAGCTACATGGCGTGCCAGCTCTACCGCTCCAGCAGCCAAGGCTAAGGCCAACCCGGACAAGGCGTAGGAAACGCAGGAGGAAAATCCCATGCGATGTTTGAGCCAAAGCTCAGAATCGGGGACACATGGGACTCATGGTTTACCTCAGTTTACATCAGTTTACCATAAGCTCCAGCAACTGGGGTTACCCATGGTTACCCATGGTTACCCCGTCCACCAGTAGACGTCCTGGGTGGAACCGGTGCATCTCCTGGGGAGAAGGACCAAACCATGTCGCCACCCACAGAAGCACCAAACCACCTCAGAGGCTTTGGAAACTACAGGTGTGTCGTATGAGAAGCATGTGGGTCCAAGACCAGACCTTGGAACCTTCATATCTTCAAAGTGTTCAAGAACTGTTTTGATCTTGGGATGTTCATGAGTATTTGGGATGATATATCAAGAAGTGGAATGTCGTATACTCTGTTCTTGATATATCTTGATATCCATCTCTGTTCTGATCTTAGTAGGGTCCCAGAGTTGATTCAGCAGCTGGGTACCGCTCCAGCCGTTCATGTTCGGACCGTCCCTGGCATCCCAGTAGTAGATCTGCACTTCCTGGACGCAACTGACGAGTGGCGGTCAAAATTGGGGACCCGAAAAAGTGGGTGAACAACAGCAGCGACCCATAAAATTGAATGGAAATATAAGTTATAATATGTTATTAGTTGTTATAATATGTAGCAATAAATATGACCAAAAACTGTGGCCTTTTGGGCCTTACATCTTTGCCCATATCATCCATATCTAGATCTTCAAAGGGCGGCTGAAGCTTCGCCGCTTCACCTGCCCGGCAGACTTGTCAATCTTCCTGTAGGCTGGCCCTGAGGTTGCGCAGACGACTGAGATTGGGATGCAAGACTCATAGCAGGGTGGGACAAGTTGCATTTGGGTTGGGTGAGAAGCGTGGCACTCCAGTGTAAGGAGACAAAATGAACAAAATACATGTCCATTTTGCCACTCAAACCCCTCCCAAGACATGAATCACTTGATTTTCGTCTAATTTGAATCCAAGGATGGAACACTCCAATGATGTCGCTGCCACCAGATTCCACCTAGAACCTTCATCTTTGCTACCGAGTGGCGACCGTGGTTGCTGCTGAACTTCACATATTCACCACCTAAGTCCGTTGCCAGGTGCTCGAGATCACCAAGGATTTTATGATTCGGCGAATGGCCCAAATTCCTGGCGAAATAACCCACCATAGAAAATGGCGCTTCTTCACCTCCACAAAATGATTGTCAGATCAGGCTCACTTTAATTCTAATCATTGATCAGAAAAATATGCTGCTGCGGTTAATTGAAAAATATGTCGTTTACTTTACTATATTCAGCAGCAAATATAGATATCGTAACCGTTGTAAACCCCAAAAAACGATAAAAATGTCATTTACCACTATTTTCGGTTCGGATTTTACCAACTTCTATATAGTTGGGGCTTCCTACATATATCTAGTCTATAATATATAATGTGGGCAACCCAACAATAAACCTACCATTTGGGGATGGCTTGTACAATTCATTGGTTGTTTTGGAGATGGTTTGTTATTGGGTTTACTACATAATCTACATTTAATGATGACTTTTTTCTGAATTATTGCTTATTACAATGACCTTTAAATATTTGGGGATGATTTTTTTACACTCATATACATATGTATATATGTATATATATGTATATATGTATATATGTGTATATGTATATATGTATATACCCTCTGGTAAACTAACATAGCTATGGAAAATCACCATTTCTAATGGGAAAACTCACTATAAATGGTCATTTTCAATAGCTATGTTAAATTACCAGAGGGTATATACACATATATATATACACATGTCTTTGATCTTCACCAACATCTCCAGCACACCAAACAAGCTGCGGATGATGCTGCCGACCGTCTCGTGCCGGCATCCACTGACCACCTCGGGGAAGTCACGTTTTCACGTTTGAAAACGTTTGGGGAAAGGCCTTTGGAAAACGATCTGGGATATGATATACATTATATATGTCTATCTACTATCTATATAATATATATATATATATATTATGATATATATATTATGTATACTGTGTAATATACATATATAAATATTAATGTTGTATGTATAATATGTATAATATAAATGTATATTTATATAATTCATAGTAACGTGAACCTCTTATCTAACCCTTTGGAAAATCCACCTAGCCTATAATGGGATATTGTCACCTTCGTGGTGGATTTTTCACATCTATGTAAATGTCTACAGAAGGGTAATATATGTTGGTGAAAATAGTCTCCTTAAAAAAGGGAACAGATCTGGGAAAATGATCATGAACTCCATGGAAAAAATTAAGGGGGCACCCTTTTTTTTCAGACAAATCCAGCTGCCAATTAGCCTCTGGCAATTTGTCACATAGCCATGGAAAATGGATGAACATGGCCCATTTAGTTTGATGATTTTCCATCGCTATTTTAGTTTACTGGAGGACAGATGATGGTAAGTTACTATCAAAATTGATACCCTCCCACTCCCAGTGGGTAAGCTGGGAGTTTATTGAATCCTGGGTAATATTATTACTTTAACTTAATTAAACAAGAAACTGTGGGATAAAAACTTCAGAGAAATACAATTTTATAAGCCCAAAACTCCAACACATCATAAACATAAAATCACATGATGATACAGGGGATTGTGAATGTCAAAGCAAATGTCCATGAATGTCCATGGTTTGGAGAGAAGACGCAGCCCAAACCGCCCAAACCCCAAAGGTTCTACATCCCAGCTGCAATGTCGATGCCTTTGCCCTTGCCTTTTCCAAAGCCCTGGGCCACAAACGACAAAATGCAACGACCAAAAGCGAAAATGATGTTCCGCAAGCCTAGAACCCGGCCGCCCAGCAGGTCACATCAAAACAGCGAATGGATCTTGGTCCCCAAATGTCCCCTTATGGGAGAATCATGCAGTTTGACCATGGTTTGACCCATCCCAGGATTGCCAGGATTTGAGAGGCTCGCACTGTTTCCCCGACGCACTGCGACGCACTCATGCCTTGTCAAAGCCAAAGCCCTTCTCGGAAACTCCCTTGCCCTGCCACAACCAGTGGGCTTAAGCGGCTTGGGGCCATCAACCTCTTCAGAATGGTTCCATATGTTCCATGTCAATGACTGCCTTTAAAGATGTTCAAAGGAAATACCACCCCTCCAATCCTCAACTTGCCTTGAAGTCTCCCTTGGCTCCGCTCATCATGCCTTTGCCCTTGTCCCCGGGCCTACATGGCTCCATGTTGGCCGGTTGAGGGTGTCATGTCCACTTGGAAGTAGGAATTGCAAACACTGTTTTCGATTGTTTTTTGGGAAAACTCCTACAAATCAACTGCTTTATTCTCCTCATCATGGGTCAACCCCATTGAGTTGGGTGTGGCCAGTCAGCTCAAGGCAAACAAAATTGATCGAGTCACTTTCCAAAACCTTGCGGCCATTCGCCTCAGCTACCAGAAAAAGGTCAAGGCAATGAAGTCGACCAAAAGAGGCAGTCACGAAGCATCTGAGCATCTGACCTTTCTTGCCCTTTCCAGGGCCCTTCATCATTTTGCTACAAGTTTGATTTGTTGGTCGAAATTTACCAATCTACTCCGGGTTGTCACTCTAGCGAGCTTTCTTGTGTAATTCTGCAGCACCGTTCAAGGCAACTTCGCAGCGTGTTAACTTGAGAGATATCCGAAGAAATCTTACGCGCTTAAAATCTAAACCAATCAATGTCTACGTCCTTCCATTGGAGCCAAGAATGTCGACGCCCACAGCAGCTTGGTTTTGACCTCCATCAGTGACCACCATTGAATTCGTATCGAAATCGTCGGAACCCATTTCTATCGTCCATTGCCTTTGGGGCCTCGGGGGCGCATTTTGTTACCCCAACCTCCCAAACCTCTTCCAAGTCCATCAGTTCTAAAGAAAGTGCCCTCTAAGACTGCAGAATCTTTGATCCCCGAAAAGTTCAAGATCTTTGACAATCGCCTTTCAAACTTCAGGAGCCCACCAACACAGCTGGAGGTGGTGATGATCCAAATCCAGCTATGTCCAGCTTCAGCTATCTCCAGCAGTCGCCCTCGGCCCCTCAGCCGGGCACTTGAGCATCTTCCTTCTTCACCGCCTCCTTCAACAGTCGGTGTAGGTCAAAGCTCCCACCAAATTCCTGCACAGTTGAGTGGTGTCGCGGGACGATACCTGGTGGGGTGCCAAGGAAAATGATGAATGAGATCTGGCACCTCAAAAGTATGGAAATGCGTCGCTGCGTCACCGGCAAAAAGTGTGTTTAGACCAACCCTCATAGCCATTCATAGCCCAGAGATGTTGCTTCATTGCGAGCTTTAGAGATGGTCTCAGTCCGCAAGCAGCTTGACAGCAGCCAACTGCATCTTCGGACCACCTGCCGGGGCCCGATGCCCAGGGATGCCAGGGATGCCAGGGATGCCCGGCTCCAGGCCTTCGAATGCTACTCTGGCCTCAACGGCAGTCAAGTTGGGTGGATAGCAGTTGAACCTACACCTCCTCAGAAATTTCAGCAATAGCCAAGAGCCAAAAAGATCCAAACAGTCTTTCGCTTGGTTGTTTTTGTTCGCCTGAATGGAATGACCACGTCTCAGTGCATAACTTCAGGGGTGCACACTATACATTACCTCCATTTACCTCCCACATTCTCCCCGACATGCCACTGGCTTGCTGGGATGCCGACCACACGGGCAATTTCTATCTGATCTGTCACAGCACAATCTGGAGGCTCTTCCCTCGGCAGAGCGTCCAGGTTCATGTCGGGAAGGTATTTTCAGGGAACTGGGGGTTTGCCGCAGTCTAGGAGTCCAGCATTCCGAAAAAGAGACCATCGTTCATCCTAAAGTCACATCATTGGATTTACAGTTCCCATTAAATCTACATTTTCTCTAAAATGCTGAATGATTCGGAACTTCCACCCGTGCCTGTTCACATGCGCTGCCACAGCTGACAGCAGTGCTTCAACCGAGTCGGGCCTTGGCATGAGAAAATAGGCAGAAAATTGATAAAAATGAGAAAATATGGAAGATAAATATAGATAGAATTAAGAAAAATGAATAAACATGTGAAGATTGAAGGTGAACATCTCTCCAGATGATCCCAAACTCGCACATTTTTGATATGTTGGGCTCTTCACCCACGAGGCACACACAGTTGAACTGCCTCAAGCCAGTCTTCAGCGATCTGCCAATCAGCATGGGATGCGAGGATTCATGGAGTATGGCCATGGGGGATCTATACCAAATCAGGCTAAGGCAATGGCATAAACCTAGGTTATGGATGTTTATAGTTTATATACTACTACACCAATTTCCGGTGCGATTCTGTTTGAGCCAAGAAAGGTTCAGGGTGAGGTTATCGTGAAGATCTGCAACCTTGGAAGAAACGGGTTTGACCTTGTGGGGGAGATGGTCATTCACATGTGTATTTGAGATGGTCAAAGCGAGAAACTCTCCACCAGCCCGCACATCTTGACTGTGTCTTGCAACCACCTCAAACCACTAGTCACTAGTCAGCCTATGCTGCTGTGATTTGCAACTGGTTGAAAAGTCGTAGTGGCTTTTTTTGTCAAACGCTATGGCTATAGCTGTGAAATCCTGTTCAAGCGCAAAGAGCCCGCTGCAGAGCGCATGATGCGCATGGATCATGACTGCTGCGCACTGCTTTGCCTCAAATGATTCATCAACCTTGCGATTCTGGAAATTCTGGTAAAGATGCCCCAGAACACGTCTATAAATATCTAAGCTATAGCCCCATAAAACCCCATCCAGCCCCACACATGTTGAACAAACAAACATGTTTGCTCTCTGGATGTCATTGAGTTTACCAAATGAACCCCGAAATTGGGCTGCTATTCACATCCCAGTGGAATGTAATGGTGGGATATGGTGGGTTATTTCCGTATGTTCCCTCTCAAAACAGCGGCATGGAAATGGCACACCCCAGCGGTGCCTCCGATTCGGTCTTCCCCAAGCTAGAGAAGGAACTCATCGAAGACACCTCATCATCTTGGCGCCTGAGACGGATTCCAATTCCAAACAGCTGGGCTGTAGCTGTAAATGGTCCAAAGCCAAGAAATTCCGATGAAGATTGGAATAGCTGGTAGCTATAGTTGTTCAATTGGGTTTCAATATCCTTTTAGTCATAAACTCCATAAAGCCCTGTTTGATTCCCGTTTGTCCTCTCTGGTGGTCCCAGTGTTCACCGTGTGTCCAGCCTGTTTCCTTCAAGCTGGATTGGGATAGGGATGTCTGCCACTACACCTCAGCCACCAGAAAGCACCAAAAAGAGAAGAGCAAAGGAAAAAAAATGTAAAACTGTCATCAGTTTATGAACCTTATAAAACTGATCATGGGTAAAAACATCCTATGGGGGCCAAAAGAAACTGACATTTAAAAAAAAAACATTGCAATCTTTCCCAGTGAAGTCCAGCGAAGGTTGAGAACACCAACTCCTCGCATGGGCATATTTTGAAACTTGCCTTTTCGAAGCAGGTTTTTGAGCCGATTTCAGCATTGGCGGTCTGTCCAAAAATTGAGCTTCCAAACTGATTGGTTTCGCAACTGAAATCTTTGAAGATGGTGGATTTGGGAAGGAAAATGGGGAAGTTACCCCAACTGATTTCGTTTTTCGCTTGGTTAAGTCACCCAATTTTTGGACATGACATGCCTATACTACGCGCACCTAATGCTACGGTGTGACTCACCTTGGGCAGTATCAGCTCGGTCCTGCTTTAACCCGGCTGAGACGGTTGTCCCATGCCCGGGGTCCCCGCTGTCCGGGGGAGATTCTGACAGAAGGAGCCCCAACTTCAACCCACATATTTGCTGCTTCAGCTGGTTCTGGTTAAGCGTTAAGCCCAATTGAACCCCAAAGTTCCATTGGCTAACCCCCTTTCAAAGGCTATGACGGTTGGTGTGCTTCAGTCCTTCTACTTCTTGTCCTTCTTGTCCTTCTTGTCTTTCTTCAGGGCCGCTAGCTTATGGCGCTTCTCCAAAGTACGCTTGATCTTGATGGACACATTGAAGGCACCCTTCTCCTTGAGCTGATGGTACTTTTTTAGAAGCTTCCTGATGGCTGTGAAGGGGCAGCGGGCAGGGACCCAAATGGTTGGAAACCATTGTTCCATCTTTCCCAGAATTGATTGGAGGGAAAATTCGGAAGACCCTTTAAGAGATGAAAAACCATGGTTTCCTGTGAAGTTTCCCTGGAACCAAGCCATCGACTCTGTTTTCCACGTTGTTGCAAATGGCTTTGTCTGATGTGTTTTGGAAAAAAACGATTCCACACCATGGCTGAGAATCTAATTGTCCATCCGAACTTCGAACAGAAGAATCACAATGGGGTCGCAGCAAGTAGTGGAAGTATGCGAGTCAAGAGATCCCATCAGGATTATGAATCAACTGATGAATGCAGCTAAATGAAGCAAGTAAAATTAAGTCAATTACATTCAATTACCAGTCTTGTTTCGAACCCTTCCGATTAAAATTGCTATTTTTCAGGTCCCATCCCCCTTTCTTGGGCAATGTCAGCTGCTGAATCAAAGAAAATCCGAGACAAAATGGAAATTGCTAATGTCTAAGAATGGCTTCTCGACTGTCTGCATCCAAGCTACTTGTGGTCTTCAACTTGCATCACCCCATGCCTTAGGCCGACCAAATGCGAAACTGAATACCATTGGTGCTTGCCTGTCAACAGTTGGACTTCTGGATCCATATTCCATGATCATTTCTCCTCATCAAGCCAGTTTTGCAGGGACCTAATTGTGATTCTATATGCTACTGCGATAAATGCTGGTCCAAATTAGGGACTGAGATGACTATGGCGACTACGGTGACTTGACTACATCTTTGCTTCTGATGCGTTCTTTCCCCTTGGAAACTGGATTTTGCTGAGCTACTCCACACAATATCTGATGGCGATGGCGCTGTCCGGCTTTTCTTGCAAAAGGGACACATAAAATGCGCGCGTTGGATCTGCCACCGGTGGAGTCAAGTGTTTCCTGAAGCACCAAAGCTACCAAATTCGGCAACATGAGTTTGTCTTTAAATGTGGCATCATACAACCCCATAGACTGGCAGTTTTAAGAGGGAAAATGATGATTTGGGGCACCTTATGTCAGACAAACCCACATTCAATGGATTGAAGATTAAAGTGAAACACGTAGTATAAGTATAAGTATAACGGAGGTTTTTGAGGTACATGTCCAATCGCAGCAATTTGGTAAAGGATCGTTCACAAAGCTTTCACAGCTGAATCTGCATTGCTCAAGCTCACAGGAAGGGTTCAAACGCCTATAACACCCACGTCGCGGCGCCGGACAAATGGGCCTGGTGTTTTCAATTGGGAAATGGGTGCCCCAATGGCCCAAGTCTGGAAGGTAATTTCCCAAAATTGCCGCCACAAGATGTGGTTCCTTCAAGTTCTTCACCCTCAAAGTTCACCCCCGAACCCAAGCAAAGGTGTAGCCCCTATAGAAAACACGCATCATTGTGGCCCATTCCTCGCCGGTTGATACCTAGCCACTGCCCATCTTTGAAGAGTTTTCGCAAGTCCCGCTTCTTCTTGCTTGGGCTGGCCTGCAACACCAATGCCAAAAAAACGCAAACTCGACCTTCCAAAATGGCTCAGCTGGCCAATCAAAGCTCTGGGGCCTTGATTCGCCTTGATTATTGAAATGGGTGCTGCAACTCGGGTCAATTAACTCCACTTTCAGCTAGCCTTTGGCCATGTGCAATGATCTCCCCTGATGCCCTGAGTGGCCTCCATTTCTTTGCAGCGACCCCCAGTCGTGCAACAACCCCAGCACCAGCCCAACCCAATCTGGAGCCAAACGCCAATGAGCAGCGGTGCGGCCGCATCCTGCTGCATATCTGTGTGTTCTGTTCCAAGGTTTGTCAGCTGCAAAACTGTATGCCAAATTCTTTTCTTCTTTTCTTGGTCGTAGTCAGTCTCTGCTGGTAAAATGCATCCAAGAAAGCATAGGATACTCTGCATGATTATAAGCGTTTATTGACCCAGATCAGAAAACAGTACAAGCCGAAGTACAAAGCCACAAGATCTACAGTCTCAGCTGCCCACGGTCATCATCCGTCTCCATCTCATCCTTGTCAGCGTCAGTCTGAGTCCCATCGCTACCGTCTGGTGCCGCCTGAAACCATTTGCAGGGAGGTCTCACTGGATTTAGTCAAAATATGATACCAAACCGAAGCAGCCTAAGCACATTCCTAAGCCGGACATCCCTGAAATCCAGGGGGATGATCAAAATGGATCGCATCTTCCCATGTGACCTCTATGTCTTGACTGTGCTCCATGGTGGCTTCGGAGGGCGCTACCTCGGCATCGCAAGGATTGGGATGGAAGGTTAGCTCTGAATGATCAGTAAGTGGGGGGGGGCAATCATCTGAATCATCTGAATCATCTGTTCATGTTGATTGTGACAGATTGCATTCTTTTCAGAAAGGAATCATCTTCCAGTCCAGTTTGTTCTGGATCCCTTGCTAGTCATTGGCGGTTCCAATAACTTTGAATAACACAAATCCCAGGCAAATCAGCAGCCTTTTCCAGAACTTCCAAGCGAGTTCCTAGGCAAAAAGCCGAAGAAGGCTGGTGAGACCCGCCGAGCCAAGAACTCAGCAAGAGCGTCAACCCCGGATTCGTAAACCTCTGGACTATCTGCTGCCCATTTAAATCATTTAGGGGCAAATCATCTCATTGTGGGTGTATGTGGGTGTAAACCACCTGATGAATCAACCACAGTTTATAAATCTGGAGTTGGCATGTTGGCATGACATAAATAGATTGGAAGTGATGCCACGCTGCAAAACAATGCCAAGCGCTGCATGTCAAACTGCTCACCAGCTCACCGTTCCGAAGTGGTGCGACTTGCTTCACCAGGTCCATCCGCACCTTCCAGGACCAAATGCCCCTCCCCCTCCCCAATCTCTCCATCATGTGACGCCTCCTCTGCCGTCATCGTCGTAAGGCGTAGGGACTCTGCCAAGGGGCTCAGCAACCCCTCCCCTGTTGGGCCGCTCTCCGGCCGCCGCTCAGCGAGGCGGAACGAGCTGCGATCCCCACCCTGGCGATAGGAGCCCTGCCGCGACAGCGGTGGGGTGTTGGGAGGTGAGTTGCCCCTAGAGGCGGTGGGGGAATGGGCCGCACGTTGCTCCAGGAAGGTGTCGTGGTGCATGTTGTCTTCATATTCCCAAGGGGTGCGCCAAGGCATCAAACCTGCAATGTCACACCCTATGATGTCGTCGATCATGATCATCATTCCCATTTTTGGTGGTGAAAATAAGGAAAATACATGAAATACATGAAAATACAAACAACCACCAACCAGAAACTCTTGCGAGTCAAAACCCCAATGGGTCGGTGGCTGCTGTCAACCACTACCACATGTCGAAGACCACAGCGGGCAAACAGCATGTGAGCGTGAACCACTGGAGTTGATCCTTGTACCACAAAAGGGGCCGAATCCATGACATCTTCCAGTCCAGGTGCTGGAAGGGCAAAGGGTTCCCTGCTGAAACTCCGCTCACTTCGGATAGCTGCCACACTGGCACTAGTGGTCACATCCACTGACCTGGAACGACTGCGAACCAACAAGCCCAGAAGTGCCTCCCTAGTCACCAGTCCACAAAGCTGACCCCCTGCCCCCTCGGTGGATGGAGGTTCCACCACTGGAAAGCCATGAACTGACACTGTGCGGTCCTCACCTGGCAATCTCCTCTCAAGGGCCTCCACAATGTCAGCCTCGGTGGCTCTCCTCGACAAGGTGATGAGTTCTGGGAACTCGCGATCGAACTGGCTGGCTTCCAGGTCGGAGTTCTGTCTGAACATCTCCCGTTGGGTCTTGGCGTCCTGACGGAGCAAGTCTTCCACCACATAGTGCGACTGACGCCAATGCGGTGTCTCCGCCAGGAAAGGCAGGCTCTGCACATTTATGAGCTCATGGTAGAGGCCATGGGCCTTCATCAGGGAGGTGACACTGCGGGCTGAGAGGATTGAGATCAAGATCACTGGGATCAGGAAAGGCTCCAGTGCCACTTCCAACAACAGCACCAGCACAAACATCACCAGTGAACCACTCCCACTGAGAAAGGCGGCGCAACCGGCAAATGCCAAGATGCCAGGTTCCATGGGTAGCGGCGATGGTGTGGGGTAGAGGGCCTGCAGCAAGGGTTGCAGCTCAGGTACCCAGGGCATGGCCTTGAAGGGAGGTGCTGGGCCTAGGATGCTGTGCCACAGCATGCCATACAAACGTCCCGCCGCGGCACCGATGCACATCATAGGTACCAACAGGCCACCAGGGATCCAGGCTGTTGAACAGCAGGCTGCCAGCAGGAAATATCCCAGCAGGAAAGCGGCCACTGTGGACATGGGCAATACCAAGGGAGCACCGCGCACAAGCAGATTGCGCACAACTGCGGTGGGGGGAACCAAGGTGATGGCGGCTCCGGGGCTGTAGTGATCCAGTGTCACTTTGTCTTTGTCATCCCAAGTGAGTCCGCTGCAAGGTCCCCGGGGCCAATTCTCTCCCATGGACATGGGGGATTTGGGTTGATCACTGACGTTGAAGAATTCACCTCGCTCCAGAGATGCCAAGTCCTGAAAGCGGCAGCAAAAGTCCGTGGGTTTCAAGCTGGAGCTGTTGTCAATGTACTTTTCGATCCCTGGCACTCGGCAATCTTTCTGCATCTCTATTGCTGCAAGGCAGTATGTGGGGTTATACTGAGCAGCAAAGAGACCGGCCCTGGGCTCGTAGCTCATGACCAGTGCATCTTTGTCGCCTCATGCGGAAAAATATCCGTTGCATAGCTATTTAATCTCATGGATAGCCCCTTTAATCGGGGCAAAAAGTGAAACCACCAAAAATAAACAATGGCTTAAGAGGTCTGAAGATCTAGATTCGGATATCTATCCATCCGTCCCTCATCGTCCCTCCATGCATCTCGCAAGATCATCCCGCAACCAACCCTTTCTCAACCATCCTGGCCAAAATTTATTTTCGAAGATCTCTCACCTCGGAATTCTTGCGAGACCTTGCCCGCTTCCACATAGCGAGAGCCTGAGACCAGCTGCTGCAGCCATGATTCCAAGATGCAGCCGCTGCTTCCGTGGAAGGCATTCTGGAGGCTCGAGGGAAGGCACGGCTGCGACTGAGGGAGCAACACGGCAAAGGCACCGCAGCAGCAGCCGATGAGCAGCGAAAAGGCAAATCTCCTGATGGAGTTTCATCCAACAGATCCATCATTCTCTCTTGAAGCAATGTCATACATCATGTCAAATCATACCAAATCAGTTTTTCTTGAACTATATCGTTGCATTAGAATAATGAAATCAGGTGCCGGCACCCAATCCAACGATATCCAACGCCCAACGAGTCCTCATAAAGAGCTTGCGGCCCCTTCCCAAACGCTGAGCCTCCTGCGCGAAGTAGATCCCAATGCCCACCACCAGGCGATTGAAAAAAATGGCCAACAAGCCACACAGGGCTCCCAAAATTGCCACATGGATGGCCATCCAAGGGCTATCCATCCAAGAGGCCATCCCTAAACAAGCTGCGGTGGGGGAATAGATGGTCTCCTTTGGGAGGTCAAAGACATAGTCCGACA